ACAGGGGCTCGGGGCCACGCAGGGAGTACTGGCTCATCACCGCCTACCACAGCAGGGGCAACCTCAAGGACTATCTTTCCAGACACATCCTGAGTTGGATGGACCTGCAAAAAATGGCAGGGTCACTGGTGAATGGAGTGGCTCACCTCCACAGTGATTACACAGCCTGCGGCCGGCCGAAAATCCCCATTGCTCACCGGGACATCAAAAGCACCAACATCCTGGTAAAGAACGAGCAGGAGTGTGTGATCTGTGACTTTGGCATTGCCATACGCCTTGACCCTTCACTAACAGCAGATGACTTTGCTAACAGTGGGCAGGTGAGTATGTGAACCTCAGCACCCCTTGGACAGGCATGCATGCCATCAAATGCACGGCCCTGAGTGGGAGATGTGGCATTTACAAATAGGGCTGTCTCTACACCACACCATCCGGAGCATAAGACCTCACCCATGTGCTCCCCAGCCCCTGCTAACCTCTCTTCTCTGCGGACAGGTGGGCACTGCCAGGTACATGGCCCCAGAGGTCCTGGAGTCCAGGGTGAACCTGGAAGATCTGGAGTCTTTCAAGCAGATGGACGTCTATTCCATGGCCCTCGTTCTGTGGGAGATGGCCTCCAGATGTGAAGTGGTGGGAGGTAGGAATGTCACACCCAGGCTTGTCTTGCACCTCTTAGGCTCCTTTCCTCTATGTACAGGGACCTTCATCCAGTCACGTCCCTGGTGGTGTCAGTGCTCCAACCCAATGCAGGGCAGTCCATCGCAGCACCTGGATTCAGGTGGCTGCTGAGAGCCGGGGACAGATCTCACCTAGGGCCCACCTCTGCCCTGCCACCCCCTAGGGGGCTGGCACTGTGATTGAGGAGCAGCAGAGGTGATCACAACATCTTTGGCTGCAGCTGGAGAAAGCCGTACCAGGGTGGATGGCTGAGGGAGGTCTCCAGCACAAGGCAGGTGGTCGACTCAGGGCCTGGCATTTCCTGGTATCACAGTGGTTTTGCACATTGGTTTTAACCCACAACACTGAAACCATCCAACTCTGAGCACTGGTCACAGAGGTGGGAGCAGACAAGTTGGGATTCTTTCCAGTATACAGCCTTGGTTCAGGGAAGAGGTCGGGCAGTCCATCAATCTCATCTCTGAAAATAACATTTACATGAAAATCTGGTGCTACACTTCTGCACTCAAATTCTAAACTATTTCCAGATCTGTTTATTTATGCAGATGCATAAAAACAAATTTCTTCTCACCCAGTAGGCCACACCAAGGCACTGCAGTGAGAAAATCATCATATAATACTGCTTCTTTGCAGAGGTAAAGAATTACGAGCTGCCTTTTGGGTCAAAAGTGCAGGAGCAACCCTGTGTGGACACCATGAGAGACATTGTGCTGCATGGCAGAGGGCGGCCTGAGATCCCCAGCAGCTGGCTGGTGCACCAGGTAAGCCAGGAGCGGCTGGCTCAGAGGCAAACCATCCTGTCCTTCTCTACTAACCCATCCTGAAGATTACTATAGCTGCAATCAAATCAATGTGGCTGGCTGAGCTCAGATAAGCTCCCCTAGACTCACTTCCCCGGTACGGAAAAGCCAACAGCTAGGGGTACAGCAGAATTCACAGTTGGTGAATCAATGGCCAAGAGCAGAAGTTATGAATGCCAAGTAATGACATTTGGTTATCTTGTGGATGCTGAAGCACAGCCAAATGGAGCATCCAGGTTTCTGCCTATTTGGTCAAGGAGTTTGAAGTTTAGAGGTCATCCTGAACCTCATACTTGGAAGAAAGGACTTCCACTTGTACAAGGAAAGGGGAAGACAGGCAGCACTTCCCTCAAGTGAAACAGCCTGAAGACATGCATGAAGCTTACAGCAGGGAAACTGCTGGGTTAAGTCTTCCCAAGGGAAAACCTTTCACCACCTTTTAGCTCAGAAGGCCTGAGAGCACAGCATATTAGCATGGAAAGCATAGCCCAGCATGCTAGAGTAGACGCACTTCAGCAGTAACGAGGTATGCTGTTCTAAAATCACCCACAAACACTCCCAGAACAACCAGCTCCAGAAACACTGCACCCAAATGGCCTTCTCTTCCCCTGTACTTTCCTTCATGAATTGAGGACACAAGGGGCTGAACACAGTTTGCAGATCTCACCTGAAGTGGTGCTTCTTAAATTTCATGTGCCTTGGTGAAAATCACCATACATTGATCACTATTTCAGCTCCCCCCAAAAAAAGCTGAAACAGAGTCTGTGGTCTGCAGTGCTCAGGCATTGATCATCGCAGGTCATTTTGTACCACCTATCCATAAAACACACTGCTTCCTTCCATCACACAACACACAAACCCAGAATTTTCAAAAGAAGAGACAGTAAAACAACAACAAATTACTGTGGTTTCTGTTGGCCCGTCAGCGAGTTTATCAGTGAGCTCATTGTGTTCGCCCTGCCTTCTTCCTTTGTGTAGTAAAACACGGAACTTAAATCAGCATGACTGCGTGCTTGAAGCCTTTGAGTATTCATCTCAGATGTTCACCTCCCAGGTCTCTGATAAACTTTGAAATCACAGGAAAAAAGCACAGAGGCTTGGGCTGTCAGAAGTCACACTCTAATAGAGCCTAACCATAGCTGTGCTGTGTGCTGAGCTGAAGTGCTGACTGCAGTTACTGCTGAGAAACAGCACTGCTGCTACAGCTGGGCTGGCCTAGCACACAAACAGAGCGAGGTTTATAAAGGCAACAGCTTTTATAAGACCTGATACTCACTGGGGATGAAGAACAAATGAAGTCATGTGTTCCTGAGAGTTTGACTAATATCAGTCAGAAGCAGCTTGCCACAAACTCGGCTTTACATCGTTTCCCCAGGCTGCAGCATAGGGCAGCACCATCTGCTGGGAGGCAGCAGAAGTCTTCCAGGAGCTGCTGTTTGGAGGACGTGCTGGATGACACCAAGATGAGGGACCTGAAGGGAAGCAGGTGTTGGTAGCCCTGCTCCCGCTGTGGGGTTGGAACGAGATGATCTCTGAGGTCTCTTCTGACCCAAGCCATTCTGTGATTCTCTGTTCCCATCAAAGCAAACCCAGGGGATGCACAGCTCCAAATGCTACTTCTGCAGGGCTCCCTCTCAATGAAGTGAGGGCCAAAGCAGTGGGCCCTGGTTTAGGGTTGCCAGCTAACATCATTGGGGTCACAGCATTAAATCCCTGGCAGCTGACTCACCCAGAGCATTGCACATCAGTAGCCCCAACACAACAGTTTGCCAACTGCACAACAAGGCCAATTGAGACTTTTATCTCCAAAACTGCCCAATTAACTCTTAAATGCGCATGCTCCCACCTCACTTTACTCCCTACTATTAAGAAAAGTGGCGTTTTCTCAGTGAAGTAAATTCCTAGAGCTGGTTCATGCCCGCTTGCACTGGCACAACCAAAGGGCTGGTGCAGGGCAGGAGGAGCAGCAGGAGCTGAACTCAGCACTGCTGCTAAAAAACACACTTGTAGAACCGTAGGTGGATCTCAGCATCCCCTGGAAATCAGGGTTACCAAGCACAAACCCTGCACGAAGACTGCTTTGCAAGCATAACAAGATGCACATCTAAAGGAGCATCACATTTACAAGGCAAACTGCAGATAAACACGAAGACTGCAGGGTAAAGTAAGCGCAGAAAGATCTAACAACTAAAGAATAGACCAGCTCTGTTTGAGAAAACTTTAGTTAAACAAGCTCATTTTTGGATGCTAGTTAATTAGCCTCAAATCCTTCCAGCTGGGCTGACAGATGAGTGCTGTCAGGAGCAATGAAATGCACCCTCTATCAGTTCTACTGCACGCTCCCATTCTCTCTTATCTGTGTCCATTGTGGAAGGCTTTGCCCAGTGAGCCTCAGTGCAACACAGCGAGGTCAGGGGAAGGGGCAGCAGGGCAGGTGACAGCATGGCACATCGCTGTAGGATTCACACTGTTCTTTCACCTTCATCTTTTTGGGTTCTCAATTGTAAGCTGAAATGCACAAAACCATGGAAAAAAACCACAAAGCTTTATTTAGAATAATGATTTTTCCACTGTGTCGCAACTTCTGCTGTCAGTGATGAAAAAGGCACATGATAGGAATTACAGAGTCAAAGGAAGGTTCAACGCTGCTGCTGCTGCTAGCTTCAAAGGGGGAAAACACCAGTGCAGTACTTCTGTCCTGAGCCTAAAATATTGGGACTCTATTTGTGTGATTTCTTGAAGAGAGACATTAGTGGGGGTTATAACCATTGTAAGCCAGAGGAACTGAATCTTTTGAAGCACACTGAAGAGCACTCAATCCCACATAAGACATGTTTTTATGGGGAGAAACTACTCAATGCAATGCTGAACTACTTGGTGTGGTTTCCCCTTTGAGAAAGCTGCTGAAACAAAGCCATATTAAGAAGTTTAATTTCAAACTCACCTTCAAGGTGCCCCTACCCAACCCTCTATGTGTGGGGGACACATAGAGCCAGGCTCGGCTCACAGTGCTGTGGGTTACCACCTGCACCTCCCCTTCCCTCGTGAATTCGGGGTGCTCCATCTCAGTGGCCAAGGCTGAGGAGATGGGGATGTGTTAAGGCCCTATCTCAACACACAAACATTGGGAAGCTGCCCAAAGCCCAGCAAAGCATAAAGGCTTTAAATCAGCTTCTTGCTCCTCTTCTCCCTGCCTTCAGCTCCTAACACCAACCCTTCTGACCGCAGGGGATGCGCTTCCTGTGTGACACCATCACAGAGTGCTGGGACCACGACCCCGAGGCTCGCCTCACCGCACACTGCGTGGCCGAGCGCTTCAACCTGATGGCACAGATGGATTGTGATGACATCCTCAACAACAACACAGACAACGAGGTCGGCAAAACAGCCTCTGCAGGAGGAGAGCAGCAGGACAACGATGGGAGCAGGAGCATGCCGTGATGCAGCAGCAGGAAGCCTCAGCACAAGAGTCCCAGGAAAGGAACTACGATCTAGTGCATAACTTATTTATTACATCTGTTTCCTCCCAGCGATGGGCTGAACTGTGGAATCAATACTTTTTTTTTTTTGTGCAACACTATACATGAACTGATTTTGTACTTACTTTAAGCATATAATGGTGTAAAGCATTTCTTTTATTATTTTTTAAAATAACAACATTTAATCTTTTATTAATAAGCACGTGAACTTCATATCCATCTTTGGAAATCCTTCCAGGCTGTCATCAGGAGTTTCTCTTCTAACTGCTCACTCTGCACAGCTCACACACTTTGTGAACGGCCCTCTCACACACGTACGCACACACACAAAGAAACCCCAAAAAAGATGAGATGTTACAGGTTGCAGTGGAACAAAGAGCATGGAAGTTACTCAGGTGAAATTCCTTCAACAGTTAAAAAAAAAAAAAATCCAAAGCCAAGAGACCAATACAGGCACTGCTGTTCCTGAGACTTCCTGCTGCTCTAAGAGATCTCCACTCAGCATTGGCAAACTCCCTACCACACCTCCCACATCCCTGCCACCAGTCCAGTTCCCAGCCACCCCCAACCAGATCTTACCACACCAACACTGCCAACATAAGCACGTTGGCCAATTCTTCCTGCGGTTACTTCCCCTCCTCCACAGCATTACTCAACTTGAAGAAACACAATCAGACAGAGCAAGGACCTTTACTCCCCATAACTCCCAGACCGAGCCAAGCAGCCTCTGCGGTAGAAAGGCAATTAACTGAATGAGAAAGGTAAGTCACACCACACCGAACCACAGCATTGTGCAAATCTTAATCCTTCCACTCTTGTAAGCAAGAGGTAGTAAACCCTCTCGCTGCTACCAAGAAGTCCTACAAGCCCATACCTGATGTGCACCTACACAGAGGTTCTTTCAGGATAGTGTAAAAGAGGAATACTTTGCTTGCCAGCACAGCACACCTGGCTGCTCCTTCCTATCACTTTACAGCGCTCAAGTGAGCCCTTTCCCTCAAAGCACACCTCCAGTTTGCTATAATAATACTCTTTTCCACACACACCTAACGTCAGTCTCATTTAACACGTTAATGACTGTTCTCTGTATGCCCAGAAGGAACAGGGGGCACTAGGCAGCTTTTCTCACACCAATCTCCCCCTAAGCTGTCAAACCCTTCTTTCCTTTACCATTCAGTGCAAAGTTTCCTCACTATACTTGCATTGAGTTGTTTGGACATAGCAATGATGTATATATTTACTACTACTTCCCAATTCAGTTTGAGAGGCTTTATAAGTCTCTGTCTGGCCTTCCAGAGGTGACTGAGGCAGAGGGGAATCAACCTGTGCAAACTGGAAGTTGAAGGCTGCTCCTCCGCTTCTGAAGGCTGAAATGAAAATCCTAGAGAAGCAGGCCTTCCTCTAGACTTGACAGTTTCCACTGCAGATATTCTTCTCAAAAGAATGCTTTCAGGCATAGAGAGGGGAACAGACTGAGAAGCTTTTTTGAAAATAAACTCCAGACTCCAATTTATGTATTCATCTTTTCCCCATGAAAACCAAGTCAATAGTCACACATTCCGGATCATACAGTTGAATGCACACATTAAATAGAAGCAACACATCACGCTCTGTTTTCCATGAGCAGCAGGGAACCAAGTACCCCCCAAAGAGGGCTCTAAGTTCTGCTTATGTCTCAGAGAGCCCTAAAATTACCAAGGACAAGCAAGAACTTTGCTCAACTTCTCTGGAGCTGAATCAAGCCATAAAGAAAGGAACACAAGGCTAAACCCTATGTTTTGCCATGCTCCTCATTTAACTTACTGTGGTTCTATGAAGTATCTACACAGGAAGCAGCAGTGATCTCTTTTTCCTCCACTCCAGAAGGTACAAGATGGAAACAACAGCAGTTATGCAAGAGAACCAAATCTGGTCAGTGTTAAAAATACACATTAGTCTGCTGAGTACTTGCAGCTCTTAGAAAAAAAAAAAAATAAAAAATCACACAAATGTCAAAATTTGAGTTGGATATTCAGTGGCTAGAATTTTAAGCTATTTTTCAATTCCATCCTTCGTTTCCCAAATAAACTAGAAAATTGCATCATTATTAAATCTACATCACAAAGTCATTCCAGTTCTTGTGATCATCTGAGCAAAGGAAGACTTTATTTTCCTAGCAGCATCCCCACGTTAAAAGGAATCGTCTAGTATTTTAAGACTACTTCAGGGTTGGTCTATTTTTACATGACAAAATTAGTAACAGCTTTCTCAGCATGAAACCGCAGATGATGGTGGAAGAGAAATAACTTGGCTGATATTATACAAAGAACACAAATTGGTTTAGGGTGAACATGGGAGCTTTTCAGCCATCACTTTGACAAACTCCCAAGTCAAAGTTTCAAGCAGAGCTCAGCAGCTGAGTCATAGGTCTGTATTCTAATACAGACAAGTTTATCAGCTGAGTGTAGTCCAGGGAAGTGAGTCTAGTTCATGTAGCAGTGATCACAGCAGGAACCAGCTGGAACTGGCACCACCCTTGCTGTTTATTTAAAGGGTATCTGCCATATGACAGAGAGAAAACAACCAGGAAACATGGAGTGTTGTCAATTTATTTTCTTTCCCTCTACCACCCCCAGCTTGGTGCAGGTACCAAAGAACTCCTGAGCTGAGGAAGCTAATACACTGCCACCGTAATTCCTACCCCAAATACTCCAACTGCCCGAGGAGCACAGCGCAGATGGGCTGCAGACCCAGAGACAAGAAAAAGCTAGACCCACTGCTTTCATATATATTTTTATTCCTGGTTGAACATGAAAATGCCCAGTAGGTATCCAAAAATGAAGACAGGGTAATTGTATAGAATATCACAAACAAGACAGCAGGGTCCCAAACACATTCTTCTGCTGGAGAATACAGTTACCACTGAAGTGCACAGTGCCAAAAAATCCTGTTATAATGGCCAGAGAAAGCCCAGACAGACAGATCTCCAGTATAAAAGACAATAATCTACTCTTCCTGGCCACCTGATCTCTAGGTAAAGCAAACAGAACAAATCATTTTGTAGTTTTATTATCCCCACCCCCAATTCTCACAAAGGGACTACAACTCGCATTGAGATCTCAGTGCATTTCACAGCAAAAAAAAAAAACAAAAAACAAACCAACAACAAGAAAAATCAAGACAGTTGTGCATAAATCCAACTTTTTTGCACAATTTACACTTTGTGTTGAAAGTTAACATGATGATTTAAACCTTCTGATGCACTCTTACATTTGTATCTTCTCCACAGAAAACACCTTACCAGATCGCAAAACTGTGAGTTCTCATGAGGATGGATCAGGTGCAGCCATTGCCATGGCTGGGAGGTGGCAGATAATGTTATATACACTGACTGGAAGACTACATCAGAAGAAAAAACAGAGTAAGGCACCACCGTTGGAAAAAATTAAGGTAGCTTGTAGTTACAACAATAACGAAAGCCATAAGTACTAATCTTAATTGCCAGCAATTCTTTAACTTCAATAAAATAGGTATAAAAAACAAAGGATGTTTGTACCTGAATACAGTTTCCTGATACCAGATTGTGTTTCAATTCAATACCCAGTCTTAAGCATTGTCAGCTTTTTTTTAATAATATCTAAGATGAAAAACCAAAACCTACAGTCCATGTATTCACAGGTCACATTTCACTGCTTTGTTCTGAATAACACCACAGGAGAAAAACCAAAACAATCCAAAGGACAGTTTGTAACACTGATACTTCACCTCTGCGATGATCAGATGGGTAGAGAAGTTTAAATACAAAACTGTATTTTCTGTTCTGTTTGAAAGCCTCAGTCCTTGGAAGGGAAGGTGGAAGAGAAAAGGCCAAACCTCATTACATTACAACAGGAGGAAAAAAAAAAGGTTACTCAAAGATTTAATAAAATTAGGAGTTGAAAAGTGTTCAAATTACTTTTTCAATTCAAGTCAAATATTTCAAGTATATTAAAATGTTTCAGAGGAAAAATTTCTCCATGGTTACGATTCTAATTGCTTTTATAAATCCATAAAAAAGAAAGGTAGTCTCTACATATATTCCATATTCCTCCGATGCATGCACGCGTTCTCTCTGAAGAAAGGAGTTCCCATGATCCAGTTGGTTCTTAACACTGATTTCAGGCACATCTTCCAAGCACCTCTCCAGTTTGTTTTTGCCAACGAAGGTCTAATGTTGGGCATAAAAGCAGCAATTTTTTGTTGCTGCTGTCTACATGGGTACCGAGCATACTTCAATCATTAAATAGAGCTTGATGTAGAAAGAAGTTCCCATGTCTCTGAACACCAGTTTCTCCTTCTCTTAGGCAGCTTTTGCAATCAGACAGACCTACTTAGAAGACTCTTACACAAGTCAGATAAAATCTTCTGGATCATAAAAAAAAACAAGTTGGTTGAATGTGTACCTGGCAAGTTTGTCTCTACGACCTTGTTCTGGATAGCTTTAAAGTGCCCTAGTTTATTTCCTTATGCTCATTTAAGCTTTCGCTACTATATAAAAAGGGGACACTCAATGTGATTACTGCATTTTGAGAGACAGAAAAAGAATATCAGAAACAGGAAACTCATCTTTAAAGCAGCTTTTCTAGTTAGCGTCCATTTGCTGAGTTTGCACAGCAGAGACTGCTCTCCAAAGAGGTTTATGATAAACCCAGCCATCTCCCTGCAATTTAAAGAGAAAATACAGTTATAACAGATGCTGCCTCAGCTGAAGTCTCTTTGCACAACTACTACACCGATAGCTTTGGAAAACCAAAGGGACGTCGCTTATACTTTTAAGTCACACAAATTAAGACAGAGATCAACACTGCAGGCTACTGAGCCTACCTCAAAGCATGCATGATTCCAGCTGAGCCACAGCTGAGCTCTGGGAACTGACTATACTTGCAATTACCCCACACAGAAAGTCACTCTTCTCAACTCCATGATCCAGTTTTCATTAAAAGACCAAACTAAGACACCAGCAAAGGGACAACCAACCAGCTATTACTGGCTCTAACACAGCCCAACTGTGTTCCTGGAAATTACATAGTTCTGGTTTACATTTAAAAGTTTTATGGGTACAATACCATCTGGATTGCAAGGAATGTCTATTTCAGTGTTACCATATCAGTAGTCACTTGTCTTCCTGCACAGCCTGCAGTGCAACTTACTACCATATTAATACCACTACTACAATATTTGTTCAATGGCTCAACCAATAAGCTCCATCCAAAACTTAATATGCCAGAAAATAAGCTCTAAGTTGAAAGTGAATGCCTCTAAACATTTAATTATAGAGTAACTGAAAAAAAATCACAGTGTTTGGGAAATGAAGGCTAAATCACACTTGGGAGCTCACGTGTTACCTTACCACTATGCATCCCATGAAACTAAATGATAAGATGCAAGGCCATATACTCTGTTCTGACAGAACACACCCACACATGCACCTGCTTCCACTGTAGCTCTGCCTTTGCCAGCTAACTACTTTGGGACTTACTTCTTTAATGAAGTATTTAGTACACCAAGGAGTTTCTGTTTCAGCACGAAGCCTTTCTTCATTCCTCTGTCGTTCCTCAAGGGCCCGCTTGTGCTCTGTAGCTTTATCGATGTCTCCATCCCGCAGAGACTCCGTTACATGTTGCCACAGCCTCCTACAAACCAAGTTGTAAACTTTAGTTTTCCAAAGTTTCCTTAGCTCACCACATTAAACAGCAAGGCAGGATCACTGCACGCAGTTCTTCCAAAATAATTGCTCTATGCACAGCAAACCAACAAAAGACAAAGCGTGATGGTGTGACACAGGTGGAGAGGCTTGTGGCTGAGCCTCACACCTACAGGAGCAGATAAGAAAAGGCTCTGAGGCTTCAGTTGCACCCATCTAATGCCTGCCTGCACACCTTTTAGAAGTTGCTACGGAAGCGTTATTCAGCAGGCAGCTTCTTGTAAGGACATTCCTCAGCAGGCGCTGCTCAGCTGTGTGGTTTTTCCAAGGCATTCTCACCAGACTACTCAGGACAAAAATGGTCAGACAAAAATAAATGTATGTATTTTACCTAGATTCAAATGGTCCTTGCTTCTCAATGGGCCGGACTCGTTTTCGTGTCACCGACAATTTTGTCAAGTCCACATATTTTGTCTCCCCGTTGCTGTAGGTGAATTCAAGCACGCTGTTCCACTCCCCTTGCACCCTGCACACCACTGTGTTGGTCGTGTTCTGCTTCACTTCTCCTGTGACTCTAAGAAATCGTGTTATTTTTAAAAGACCATGGTCAGAGACACCTTAAGACTATTCACTGCATTAATCAACCTCATTCCAAAAGAGTTTGTATGCCTGTCCCACTGTCCTGACAAATGTTAGTTATTTGAACTGCATTGGCATAGAGAAGCTCAGAAAGCAAAATGACTTTTCCTTATTGCTCCAGTTCCTTTTGTGTTACCCAGGAAAGTGTTTTGGTTTTGGCTTCAGCAGAAAATTGTTTTGAATCTTTTAACCAAGCCAAACAAATAAGGCATGTTGTAAATAACAAGCAGTAGAAAAATATCCACCTCATCAGGTATGTAGTTCAGGCTGAAAAACAGAAGTGATGCTTTTTACCAGGAATGTATCTCACTAACTGCCCAGCTCAAGCAGAGCTTGAAGAAAAGGAAACAAAAGAGTTTGCAAATTACACAGGTGATGCTCAAGACGTGACCTCATTTGCCAGGTGCTGCAGGCTGCACAAAGAATGCCATCTCTAGCTTCAATTAAACTCTGATTACCTGTGTACAGACAACATATAGCACACCAATCTCCAGCTTCCAGTCCCCTCAGCTCAGGGATACTGGGTGCTGGATGTGATGGGAACTCATGGGGCATGCTGTGGGCATGGCAGGATGGAGTCAAATGGCTCATGGCAAGAGGCCATTTGTGATGAAACATCTGAATTTTGGCCATCTCTTTCCAGTAAGATTAAATTGGTTTGCAATATGTTTGAGGGAAAAAACCTAAAATGACATGTTGATCGAGCACACAGTTTCCTATTACCAAAATTTAGGATTTGCTTGGGAAAACAAACTAAGGAACAATAAGAGCAGTAAGAGCACGTGTATGCCTCCTGAAGTTAACAAGTGGGTATGAGTCTCTGAAAATAACTAAAAGAGCAGGCCATGGACAAGCAGCCTTCCTCTCATGCTGCTTTCTCTCCCTGTGACTCTCACACCTCACTGAAGGTATTGCATGGGGTGAAGCTTCCTCCAGGCTGAATCCACAGAGTGCCCGAAAGCAGTCAGGTCACACTGCAGTTACATCTCCAGAAGGCTGTGCTCTTAAATATTCTTAAGTGGTGACAGCAGAGCACTGACAACCCAGTATTTTAATATCAATCATAAAATTACAGTCTCTACTTAGCACAAAATAAACAAGGTTTTATCACTCGTGCAGCATTACAAGGCACTGCACTGAGCTGCTAAGTTAAACTCTTGTTGTGACCCATATTTCCTCCCACTGTATTATTCAATGACACCACCATTCCCACACTGCAGAACATGATATCTACCTGAACTAATACCAGTGACAAAGCCTGGGAGCATTTGTCTGCAGGCTTGGCATGACTGATATATGCCTGGTTCTACGTGATTACTATCATCATCTGTTTGATCAAGCTAAAGGGGCACAGAGCCAAGCAGCCAACACCCAGCTAAGGTCTGGCAATGAGGGTCAACACAGAAATCCATGATGTTGCCATAGCAACTCACTTGCACTCTGTGTAACCATGACAACACTGCTGCTTCCCCATCAAGTGATTCTTTTGGCAATGGTCAATCGTTACTGCATCAGATTTCCAATAGTTGCAGTACCTTGAGTGGATCTGTCTAAAAAAAGCCTCTACATGCACTAATTTCATGGAGACAAGTAGAACATTTCCAAATTTAATCATTAACTTAAAAATGCATCCTACGGCTAAATTTTTACTGGAGTGATTGGAAGGTGGAAGCTGTATTGTAAGCAATGGAAATAAGGATCCCAAATGACATAGCTTCTGCTCTGTTTCACTTGTAGCATTTTTACACGTGACCTTCAGTTCTTCAGATGTCACTGAGATGGTTAGCTCTGGCTGCATGGTAAATTCAAAGCATGTCTGGGAACATAAGGGACAAGGCACTTCAATATGAAGGTCTGGGTGTTTTTTGTTTTCTTTCAACCTATATGTATATCCTTGCCCTAATGATCCAGAAAAAGTATTTTTCTCCCCAATGATTTTTTTTTTTTTCCAATCTGAAAGTCCAAATCACGTTTCAGAAGTCCTGATGCTCCAGGCAGTTACATGCTTCATTACTACCTCCTGGACATTAAACCTAAGGAAAGGTTTAAACAAGTGCTGTCCAGTAAATGGCTGAGAGCAAAATGCTCCGCAATCATATATTCTCTGTGAGATTAATGCTCCACTTTGCTTTTCCTTAACTCACTGGCTCCGTAATAGCACAAAGCTAATCTTGCAGCATGCAGTCTTACTATAGGAATCTCTAAACACACCACTGTTAATGAGTTTTAAAAGGCTTTGCACCAAGTGCACAGAGTTTACAGGGATTTCCTGGAAGAAACCCCAAGCAAACTTCCCCTTAGTCTTCTTTTATCCGTTAGTCTCTAAATAAGGGCATACATGGGAAATCATCATTACAAGATCAAACATTCTGGTCTTTAAGGAAAGAAATGAAACAGAAGTTGACAGGTATTTCTACCTAGAGATTTTCTTCAAGTTGCTTAAACTTGATAGGATTTGTTTCTCCACACTGTTTTTTACCTTTTGATTAAATGCAAGCTGGAGACTCATTCCATATAATACTGCTGAGGTACTCAAAGTGAAAAAATTCAAGGCCACACGACTAACTTACAAAGCATCTGTAAAACATGCTAACCAAGTCATTTCAGTAGGAAGAAATCTGCAGTAGTCAGGAAAAGGAGCCAGGAGCTCTGCTTTCCCAATGGTCTGAACTGAGAGTCAGAGAAACTACGGATTTCTTTACTACCTTAAATGTAACCTCACTGTTCTTCGAGGATCACAAGATGTTGTTTCAGAGCACAGTAACATCTCAGGTATTCACCGATAGCAAGAACAGACTCGTGCTCAGACTACTGGAACACTTACTCAGCACACAGAAAAAAAAAGCAGTTACACAGCTGCTGGAGCTGCAGAGCGCAGACTAATGTGGAAAAATAGAGAAAAAGTGTCCTCACCGATGCAATTTCCCACCGTAGAAGGGCTTGGTGTGGAAGTTAATACTTGCAGAATATCCTGTCTTTGCACAGTTTATGTTGACTTTTCCTCCCAGTTCTACCCAGGGAACAGTCAAAATTGATCGAGCATATGCACAGGGCAGAGAGAACGTATATTCTTCCTCATGTTCCAAGAGGCTTAGAAGACCTGTGCAAAGAAACATCCTTAAGTGAGCACTGTTTTAGAAATGACCAAGCAAGTTATTGAAACACAGACAGTACTACATCTGTCTACTTTTCCTCATCATCCCTTAAGATGAAAGAAAAAGGGAAGTGACATTTATTACAGATTCCAGACACTCAGGTTAGTGCTTTCAGTAAAATGTAACACACACTTATATTTCTTTTTTGAAATGAGATTAACCTAACAATATCTATCCACAAAATACAATACCGTGCAGTACAACACACTTCTCAGCCAAATGTAAAAGGGCTGCCACTGTCTTATAGAGAGCTCTGGAGCATGACAACATTTATGCAGCCAAAAGGAAAAGATGAATGAATACCCTGAACTGCAGTTCTTGATGAATGATAATACTCCTGTTCATTTCCTCTCTCTTTACTACACTATACTCTACCTGAATGCAGGTAGCAGAGACTCATTGCTACTACACTTCTTTGCCAAGAAAGACTTGACTCTTTCCTGACCACAATTTTTGTTAAGAATCTCATGAAAACCAGATATTTTCTCTGGGTTTTAAGATGTGATTGTTTGGGTTTTTTGTTTGTTTGTTTGTTTTTTTAAATAGGAATCAAAGACCCACATCACAGAAAGTCTACCTGTCAGCATTACAACAGCACAGTATAGCAGTTGACTGCTGTCTGCATCAAGCCATGCCTCTGCAGCATGCCAACGCTGTGCTTCTCACTTTCAGAGTTCCTCCTGGTTTTCAGATTCATGATATGAGGAAAGCCCAAGAGGAGACATTCACTTCTGAAATTACCTGGTACAGACAAAGCATTCAGATATGCATTTCATCCCCCTGCCATGCTCACTACTTGTCAGGTATCCAGCTGACACTCAAATATCTGAATCCACATGCCATCAGTTGCTGAGCAATATACACAAGAAACATAATGGCCAATGCTGTCTCAACTCTCACAGTAAAATTACTACTAAAGAGGAATTACCCACTTTGCTCCTAAAGGATCTAATTTCTGTAACTGAAGAGAATTGAAACTTCAATAGGAAGACAAGTGCAATATATGCAAACAGCGTTTATTTTTAACAAATATCTGGTACAAGTTATTTTGTGCAATGCTTTGGAAACATTCACAAAGCCCAGTTTGCACTTACTGCTCTTTGGTTCAGAAGTCAAAAATTGAATTCCAATATATTCTTGATCTTTGGCAAAGTGTAAATTTACCCATTTTTCTCCCCAAGCCTGCTGCTTATAATGAGGACTTATAGTTATCACCTGTGCTTTGTAAAGCACAAAAAAAAAATCATCAGATGACTGTACATAAAGGTCCTCCAGATTTGAGATTAAAGGAAAACCAGAAGTTCAAAAAAAAAAAAAAAGCCTGAAAACCCACAGTAGCAAGTGTAGTATTGGCAAAAAGCTTTTTCTGAAATACCTTTGAAACAAAACTACCAAGCTGTATTCACCTGTATTTCTGACAGAGAACACACAGCATTGAATTTTCTCTTAAATTATTGTGTTCAGCAACTTCATAAGACAAATAAGGAAAAACGTTACTTACCTTCACCAACCATTGTCACCCCTATCGACATTCCCAAGAATTTACTCTTTGTCCAGACATGAGCATTGACGCACATCTTTCTCTCCACACATTCAGCATAAAATCCTGACACAGGAGGGTGGTGGGACACTTGCTCAGCTACAAACTTTACTGTGTAGTAGTCCGACTCGGCTTGGCCTTCCAGATCTTTAGACAAAGTTATTTGCTCAGAGGTGGAGTGAGCAGAGATGTTACTGCCACCGTCAGTGGCTACTTCACTCTTTGGCATCCTCCAGGAGCAGTGAAACGTTTCCCCAATGATGGGATTGTATGGTTTCTTTGCAATAGCTCCTTTGCGACCTTCATGAAAAGAAGTGAGATAATACTCCACAAAGCGGATCATCCTCTCCTCAGGGGTGCTGCCATTCGTGATCGCAATGAAGAGATCAGGATGGGACATGAAGTCTGCATACATCTCCAACAACGATCGCTTCTCTAAAATAAAAGTGGGAAGAACCACCTAAAATAAAGGAAAAGGCTGTAGTAAGTGAAATGAAAAGGCAGGCAATTTCATAAGGGAAGTTTTCAGGTAGAGGATTCTGTCTTGCTTCAGACACTGCGCTTTCAGATTGAACCTTACTGCCCCTCTTCGAAAACTTGAGCAAAGTAGAGTGATCACAGATCCTAGAGAAGTACTTAAAAAAAAAAAAAAGAATCCAATAGATAAGGGACTGAGTACCCTCTAGTAATAAATAAATCAGCTCTGAAGAAAGGGATGTGCTCCACAAACCTGTAGAATAGAAAACGGGCAGGACAGAGCTCGAACTATAGGAAGGAAGGTTCAGAGTCGAGGTTAGGAAAGGTTTTGTCTAACAGAGTGAAAAAGCACACAAGCTGTGCCAACATGCTTGAAAGCCTCTGTCTCTCACACCACAGAGAACAGGACAAGCATTTATCAGAAATAATACGCTAACCCTCTACCTTTGAGCAGAAGGTTTTACACATCCCCATCTATATCCACCACTGTAATAAAAAAGTAGAAGGGATATCTTTTACTGGGCCAAGAAAAAGATATTTTAGTATAAGAAGGATGTATTATCATTCTTTTCCTTCCCTACAGTGGCAATTAACCTCATAACTAGCTTTATTGTAATAAGCAAGACAAGAGTGTCTCAAGCAGGAGATCAAACAGTTTACTTAAGTCTGTTGCATTCAAAGTGTCTTCACTCTTCAGTTACTTACTCTTGTTAAGTCCATGCCAAGTTTCAGCTGAGACAAGAGATGCAAGATAACACTGCGCTGTTCCTCCACTCCTCCTAGATCATCTTCTTTATCATCACAGAGGTCCTCCAGCTCCTCATCTGGATTTATTTCTTCAGGTTCCTGAAATAAGAGCCATAAACATCAGCTCAAAGATGTGTCTTATCCATACAGTATCCAAAAAGGACTTCCTCTTGTATTGTAACTCTCCAGGTACGATACAAGAGATTATACAAATCCAGATACCTGCGGAACATCTTGGGACAAACAGCTGGGCAGAGGGGTGGTGCTCGAGTGCTATGAGATGGCAGTAATATGTAACTGCCCTAAGGCCTTCCCTCTGTATCAGCAGCCATCAGCTCAAGGCAAATTCCTCATCACCCAACCACCACAGAAAGCACAAGGGTCCATGTCCTCATGCAGAGCCCATAGCCTGACAAACTGTGCAGTATCACACAGAACCATAGAATCATACAATGGTTTGAGTTGGAAGGGACCTCAAGGATCATCAAGCTCCAACCCCCCTGTCACATGAGCGAGTCCATTCCAATGATGCTGTGTTGTTCTACTACCAAAAAATAAGGCAGCTGAAAACATCCATGGAAAGTGATAATACTGGTCATACCACAACTACAGACAGTGACATACATTAATAATTAAGGGAGTTGGAGCTTAAGTGCTTAGAGGGAGGAAGGAACCAAAGAGATACAATTGAAAACTCCTGTTTATTTGCTGTTCAGTTTTGCTTGTTGTTTTTTTTTTTTTCCCCCGTTTTAACTTAATGACAATTAAACCTATTTAAAAACTAACAAAATAAAGACCTAAAGATGTTTCAGTTGCCATTTTGCTGTAAGATAGCAAAGTGAAACAGATGCTGCTGTACAGACATACAGCCACACAAGATCTTTTCACAATAGCAGCCTCACATAAAGAACTGTGTGAAATCAAGTGGTATAGAAAGAATGTAATTACAGTTTTCTACCTCAGCTAGAAAAACATGTTTTTAAATAATCCTGTTCTTTTACTTGAATATTTTGCACTTCATATTCTTTTTGACAGTTATAATGACACAGATTGTAGTTGCATTTCAGAAACATTAAGACATCCTGAAGCCAAGTGATGAGAGTCGCTCACGTTAAGAAAAACACATACAGCAGAAGCTGGAAAAGAAAGATGGGAAGATTTAATAGCTGGAGATTGGCAATTTTTTCTCTCATCTACATAAGCAGCTCTTCTTGGGCCTATTTCGTGAGTGTCATGAATTCCAATTAGATCTTCTAACTTCGGCTTCCAGTTGTTTTAGATCAACGTGTAAAGGAACAGTGCTTCTTTCAATACCTGGCATTACTGTTCCAGTTGGCTCCCTGTGACAGCTATTTAGAGAAAGCTGCAAAATTCACTGAAAAAGCATGCCATGAAACTTTAATTTACCGCAATTGCACTTGCTTCTCCTCCAATGCAGCTAATTGAAAAGTATGAGAAGAATTGTATTTAAATCACTTTCACATAACATGATCAGGTATACCTCCAAAACTCCCCACAGAAAGAGGATTTTCACATTACCTTACCCTTGTTAGCTGGCAGGGCTCCACAATGGACTGCTCCTCTCTGACAGATGCTGGCTTGTTTATCTCTGCTGGGAAATTCTGAGCTGCCCCATTTTTGAAGTGGTTTGACAGAGATATCTTTGGTTCCAACCAACTGATCGTTGTTCCTGAAGCAAAAGAGAGTTTGCGCTGAAACTTGCTCATCCTCCACGAGGGCAGCAGATAGCGGTTGTCCCCAGAACAGCTTTCTGAAGGAGAAGCTGAAAGCAGCAAGATCCTCCTGCAGCCAATCCCTTCAGCAGCCACCGAACAAAGGTGGTGCAATGAGACACCACCTTCGGTGATCATTAGCACAAACCCTGCGATTGGCGAGCTGTAATGCGTGCAACTTGGACTGGAGCAACCCGCTGGTGTCAGGCAAGGTGTAATCAGACACTCCAGAAGAACCCAACTGACAGGAACGTAACCCTTGCAGGTTTCTTTAAATCATACAAAAAAAAGCACGCTGCTTATCACCTTCTCAAGCCCAGCTCAGTTCTAGACTAAAAAAAGCCAAAGAAGAAAAAAAGTTTTGCTGCCAATGTTTTCTCTGGAGAGGGTACTCATCTTTTCTTGGCTGCAAAGGAGGCAGGCACACGCTGCTGAATAAATAATAGTTGCTCAAAAAAGCTGCAGGGCTTGGAAAGCTATTTACCCACTCAATGACTTCGATATCTCCAGTTACTCCCAGCTAATTTATCAAGATAGATCATGTTCCTCATTAATAATGCAAATGTTCCATTCTTTTTCAAAGGCTAATAAACGAACAGGTGACTCCTGAAGTTTTTTACTGAATCAAAACACAAACTGGGACAAGGCTGCTAGCACAGAAATGATGTGCAAGCCCCAGTTTGTAGAACTGATAAAGCATCCTACTGCACTTCAGAACCCACATCAGAAAGGATGTGGTCTCTTTCTATGCCATCCAAAATCCTCTCCTTGCAGAGCTCTGTCGCTGCAACTAGGTCACAGCCTCAGTCACAACAGAGGAAATTTAAATAAGAACATTTCCACCAGGAAAAGTACTGGGGCAGGAAAAAAAAAAATGTGCAGCTTTTAAGAATGCAAGAATCTCTAAGTGTGCATTCTAGACTGCATGTAATGCACACTCACTGCCTATGCATTGGTTTGGATTTAACAGCTATCTCCCATTTTATGCTATCAGTTACTAAAAGAATCTTAAAAGTTCAATTTCATTTCACTGCTAGATTCTAGGAGGTTTTTAAAAGTGATTTGAGATACCAGGTATGCTATAACGATAGAGGGGACAGGATATCACATCAACACTTCTCTTCCACTGGAATATCACATTCAAATCTGTTCTAAGCTACTTCAGGTAACACAACCTATTCTCCTTACCTGTGATCTCCTCATCCCCTACGAGTCTTTTTTTTTTCTTTTTTAATCCAGTACATGATTTCATCACCTAACATTTCTGAAACTCAAGCCAATAGTTGAAACTTCCCTATTCATCTCCAAGTCTGATTTTTGGAGCACCTCAATGCAGCTGGGGCACTATTTTCACTCCTCCTGGGTTTCTTGTTTGTATTTTAGTTTGTTCCTCCCTCCCTGACCCTCTTTACAATTATAGCAAACTGGCATTCTTTCCCACAAAGCTGAACTTCTAAAGTCAAAGTGGGGCTCAAGGAGCACTGCTGATTTCCCTCCCACCCACACAAATCATAGTGATTCAAAAGCAAAACAAACACAAAGCCACCTTTGTAGCACACACACACACACACACACAAAAATAAAAAAAATAAAAGAGAGCGATCTCCCATCTTTACACACTGATTATTACAAATTAGCTGGGAGCAGGAAAAGTTCTTTCAGTGTGAGTAACTTTGGAGTCAGACTAAGATTTGGAGAGATGCCATCCAGTTCGTTGTTTCTATGAAGTCATTTCTGAACTGAAATACAGCAAGAGTTAACCTGTCCTATTCACACTTTCCCGTCTAATGCCTGTCATCCTTTAAAATAAACTACATCGATACAACAAACTTTCTTTGTGTGGAAAGCTAAACTAATTATAGCTTTGGAATAATATGCACTGCCAAAGCAAATACCACAAATATGATAGGAATATGAGAAAGATAAAGTAAGTGACAACTTACGAGTGTAGTTTATTGCATACTTAGTATAACACACCTGTTGCATAATAGAAGCATTTGAGTAAAGTTTGTTGCTTACAAAGTCACTAAGCAAATTCAGAGCTTTGTTATTTTAATGCTAAATTAAAGCTTTGCATATGCAAATGCTTACAGTAGGCATTAAGTGTGTTAATAAGTCAGAAAAGTGTGACATTTGGCAGAGCTCCAGCAGATAGTACATATCCTTTGTGCCTATGACCCCACAGAAATCCCCCTCCACCATTACTGTTCCTGCATCCCAAAGGAGCCTCTCTCTTGCAGAGCCTTATGGACTTTTTTCTGTCATGAGATCATCTGCATTAATCAGTTGTTTCATTCATGCAGCTATCACAGATTTCCTTAATAGAGAAATCAATAGACAAGAGGGAAAATATGCACACGAGTTCTACTCAACATCAACAAATCTAGACAAGCTCACAAGTAACAAGGCAGACAGCAGTTGTCTCTACCCACAGGCAACTAGATTTAGTGGGACAAGCATTTTCAGAAGTGAAGAGGGAAAGGCTTCATACTCGCTATAGGGTTCAGCTCTTTGTGAATATCTACACCCACCTGCTGGTAAGGATCCCTTTTGTTGTGAAGCGTGTTGTAACTGGAGAATATGGAAACAGTCATTTAAGCAGTTCATGGTTGCCATGGAAGTTGCTTTGAGCATTAATAGGTCTTGATCCAGGGATGTAAGGTGACCAGAGACAGGAAGGCATTCTATGCTCCTGATCAAGTCTCTCTGCTGTCCCTCAGCCTGCGACATCATCTACCAAACAAAGCAGGTGTGCATCAGAAGGTGACAGAAGCGTGTTGCGTGATGTGCCAGACATGCATACACAGAGTCCCATGTGACGTAATGATAATAAAACTAAAATGTCTTATGTATGCATAGATTTAACCACACTTCTTTCCTTCATGCAGCCACTAAACATCATTAAATTCTCACTGAAACACATAACAACTTATTAACATCCATACCACTGCTATGCATAGGTTTGCTATCACACTGCTTACTCAGCAGAGGGAATAGAAAGAGCAGCTGGATTTTCACCTTCACTCTGTGTTCAAATTACAGCTTTCCTTGTTATTTTTTTCCCTTGCTCTCCCCCGGTCTCCTTTCCTGCTTCCTCTGGAACAGAGCCGTACACCCCTACATTACAGAACCTGCAACAGCATCTCATTTGCCTGCCAGAGGGAGAGCATGAACACACCAGCCAAACAGCACACTGTGGTCTTCAACAAAACGATATAAATTCCTCCTTGAGCTCACACAAGAGTAACTTTGAATCATGGGGATGAAAGGAGGCTCTTATACATATTAGTCACTTTTCTCAGAAGGCACAACAAACAGCATTAATGTAACTGGGTGCTGCTACTCTGCCATCATTATGCATTCAGGCAGTAAATTAAATATAGACTGATTAAGCAGAGTAGAAAAAAAGATTTTTTAAAAGAATCCAAGATGCATTCGTGTGTTTTACTGCTGTTTTACTATTGAGGCTTTTAATTTAGCAATTCTGGCAGTTGTCCTAATATTTTTTTCTATATCCTCGCCTCAAGTTTCTTCCAGGAATTGCTGTTAAGGTTTTACACAATACTCGAGCAATAGGTATTCATCTGACTTCATGGTATGTGGTATTTGGAACATTTTAGGGCTTGGCCACAATGTACATTGTGGTGTGAACATACAGATGCCTCGGCTCTTCAGAGGTGCAGTTATCCACACACAGGTGTGGCAGTGCAGGAAGCCAGCAAACACTCGGTGAATGGTGTGTCTGCACTGGCAGGGCTATATAACCAGCAGAACAGTGTCTGCTTCCAGTTAAGAATATGATTTAAGTCTTCTTTACCCCCACTCCCTCAATGCTTCATAAGCTTCTGTTGAGTTAAGAAAAGGATGGGAATTGGCTGGCAAACCACTGCAGCCCTTCTGGTGACCTTTGCTCAGCACTCCATTCCAAGGTCAGGTAAGACAAGACAAGCCACACCATACTCAGCACTTGCATTTAAACAGCCACATCTGCCCTTTCTACAAGTGTACTTTGAACAGGCTTAAGTTCTTGTTTGAATATTCAGATTTGTAAAACAAAGAAACAGCACTGGTGGTAGGGGAGAGAAACACTGTTACAGAAAACGAGATCAGAAGTATGTAAGCTATAGCTCTCATTTTGCAAATGCATGCCCCTGTATTTACAGTAAGTCAGCACAAATACCCCCTCAGATCTCCTGTTCTGCAAAGCGCCCTAGTCAGCAGCATTTGGTGAAGAGCAAGGAGAAGGGAAAGGGACCAACAAAATAGCTGCACTGCAAGCCATTGGAAAGTTCACAGAAAGAATCACCACACAGCAGATTACCTGAAAGAAAAGGGGTTTTCCCATAGCTTCTCAAATGGATTGGTAGCATTGGAAGTATATTCACCTCAAATGTAGCAAGAATGCTCAAATGTAACTTGCCTTTTGTTATTTCAAGCATTTTAACTGTTTCTAAAAAACCCCAGGCTTGTATCCAACAAGCATTTTGACTTCAAAAAGATAAGCAAACTGACATCCAGAGCATTCTTCATGTATACAGATCAAAAAACTTAAGCTGATACAATCAAATTGTCGTCCAACTATGTAATAACCAAAAGAAAAAACAAATCATTTCCTGCTCTCCTGGCAATGCTAAGAGAAGTCATTCAACGTGGAGAAAACACACTGATTTGAACAGAAGTTCACATATTCTGAGGTTTGAACACAGCCCCTCTGTGCAGCCTGGTGAGTAATTATACCACAGGACTTGATCTAAATCAAGAACACTGATGATGGAAGCATACCTACCAGGGAAAAGCATTTTGCACCCCAAATTACAAACTCCCACTGATGAATTTACCACAGCATCCAGACAGACATTTTGGGGTTAATGACACAATATTCTCTTGTCCCAGTTTCTCTAAGTGCAATTTTTAACAATTCATGCTTGCTAGACCCTTATTCATTAAATTAAAAAGCCCTCCATTAGAAACCTTTTCCCAATAAGTGCTATCCCAATTAGTGCTATGCTAATTACTCTGCTGATGCTAAAATACTCACTAACACCAAAAGTGCTACGAAATAACAAAGGTCATACAAGGTAAAAGAACAACTCAGTGGACTGGTCTACAGCTTGATACTGGAAAAAGCATGACATGTCAGTAACTTACCACATGATGGCAAACCTATAGCACCTGACTTGCAAAGATCATAGTCACAAAATACATGTCATATGATTCTACAAGTCAGGATAAATTACTTAATCTCACATAGCTAAGCAGTAATAGTTTAGGAGATGTGACGGACAATATATGTATCTAATTAAACACAGATTTCTCCACAGTGCTAGATATAAGACAATGGTTCTTTCAAGAGATTGTTAGGTAATTCAAGGTATACAGACCTCTCGGACATCTACGAGGTGATCTGGCTGCAGAATAGGACCTCTTTTTCCAGTGGGCAATCTGTGATGCCCAACGTTGAAAAAGGAAACTGCATTTTGGCTAGGTCTTCTTTGCAGCCCTGGAGAGTTGATGCTTCCTTGGGATGCGAGAGAGAAGCTGCGAGATTTCAGAGGAGGGTTGTTCTGGTGAATAAATAAGAAGATTGAGAAATATTTACAATTAATTACAATAATTAACCAGTAAGTGTTCTAATTTAAACCATGTAGAAGAACATTTAATCCCAGATTCTTAGTGGAGCAGTAACAGATGACAAAGCCATAAACATATTGGCAGCAACTGCCAAAAGGAATATTTTGTACTGCTGACAGCTGCCCTGTTTTACAGTCTAATTATAAGGAATCAGTGCAATGAGATGGATCAATACCTATCACTTCTGACTTGAAAATTAGCCCTTGATCTGCAACAGTCTAGTCTTGACTGCCAGTGGATCCTGCATGGGTAGAGCTCACATTTGAGAGGGAGGAATTTCAGTCTGAGCTATTAATTGAAGTAAACATTAACTCAGGATCAACCCCTTGTAGATCATTCAATCTTAAAAGCAAGGTTTCATTCAGATAACATACAGCTTTTACAGTAATCAGGAGTTTCTACAGAATGTATTACATTCACAACCACCCCACAAAGAACAAAGGTAAGCAGCACTTGAAGAATTAAGGGCTTATTTCTCAAACATGGAAAAAAGGAAAATAAAAAGTAAAGCTTCCAAATGAAAGACCTTCCATAAAAATTAAATAAAATTCAAAAACCACTGGAAAAGCCGAGCTTTTGCTCTCATCATTAAGTTCTGCTTCCTTATCAAATACCAGCTCACCAGCACCTGGTCAAGGAGGACCACTCAAATCTTCCAAGGCAAAGCCACCTCATTTCATTCCTAAAGCATACTTCCATTACAAGTTAGCTATTGCACAGAGGAATGCTCCTTGTCAAGAGTTTCAAGCCCAACCACATGCTCTTTTGCTAGCATTTGTTTTAGATAACCACCTACTTCTTCCACCACCCTAAATTATTTTTGCCCAGCAAAATACGAATCATACAATACCTTTCCAATAGCTTCTGTGTGATGCTGTGTGCATATCTGCAGCCTGCTAACCCAGTGCTGTCGTTCTTTAGCATCAGTAGCTAACAAAAGCAAAGCAAAAGGATCATGTACATGAAGATATTTAAGTACAGGCAAAAAAAAAAAACAAAACAACCCACAATTCTTTGAAACAGGCAGAGGACTTTCCAGGTCAGCTAACCAAGGTTTAGATCAGAAAAACTGTTGATTAGCTATATCATTGTGCGTTTCACATAAAACACTCATTGCAACAGCCTGCTGCACAAGTTCTTTTGCTTTTAGACACACAGCCAAGTCCAGAACAGCAGCCACAGGTAAAAGTTGGGAGTGCCTCTAGTGGAAAAGTCTCCTGCCCAAGAACAGTAGTCCTACCTCTTAGTTTATACTGCTCCCCGCTGGCAGCATTGACTGTAAAGGTGTGTGAGTCTTCATCACTGGGTGAAATTACAGCTCCTGCTAGCTGCAACGTGCCCCTGGGCTTCAGGTATCTAGACTGCTCATTCACGAAGTACTCCAGCAGGCCAGCATCATTGTTTAGAACAAAAAACCTACAACGGTGACAAAGTAAACACAGAAAATAAGCCTGGGCTGCTATTTTTAAGAAGGGTGGGCAAATGGGAAAGAAGCTAAGAAGTCAAAACTTTCATTACAAGTCAGTAGAGACGGGACTGGGATTTAAAGATTTGTGTCAATTCAGCCCCAGCCACGTGAAATACATTCCCAATAAGGCTGGCCACAAATTCTTAGCAACTTTTTTCCTCAAAGATCAGGAATGTTATAGAGTAAGAGAATAAGAATGCTATTACAAGATTTTGAAAGTTTTGGGAACTCTGAAGCCTAACTCACCCTTAAACTATGTAAATTAAGGAGAGAACAGTTACAGAACAGTGAAGGAACAATAAACATATTGACACAAGTCACTGCATGGCAGAGGGAACAAGAATCTGGCCAAGGAGATGCACAAAGGACTTATTTCTGGTATTTATTTGGTTGAGCTGTGCTGCTCTAGGAAGCAGGGTGTTTGACCAGAAGGGTTCACCTGTTATAGAAGAGCAAGTTAATCCATAGGAAACAAACAGCTCAGGGAACCAAAGGGAAAAGCTTGCTTGAGTTTGGATTTTCAGCCTACTTATTTATCTAATGTGGTATTATCCGGCAGCAGGGCTGAATCCTCAAAAGAAAAAACAAAGGGATTTGTACAAGTTTTCAGAAAGGGGCAGGGAGAATAGTATCAACGCTGTGCATCTTTCTTTATGCTGCGCATAAGACACTTCTGTCACGTTTGCCAAATAGAAAATGGGAAATTCCAGTGTTATTTAAGAAGATTGGAACATGCTCATTTGGATGTTGCAAAAAATGACCACTACTGAAAAACATCAGAAAAAAAAAGCTTACCGATATTGCCAACCAGTGACGAGATTGGTGTACTTCATTAAGTAGCCACAAATATTTTCCATGTGATCACTACCACAGAAAGAAAAATAAAAGCAATCAAATAACAATAACATCAAATAAAGACCAGATCTTCACAACTTTTGATCATTATCTGTTCTTTGAAAATGAATTTCTACTTTCAATTTTTAAACAGCACCATCACTCTTAATAAAAAATATCAATAGCTAGCAAATTTTACAGATTTATTTCTGACATTATTTCATAAGACAGCTTAATTGGATACAACAACCCCCAAATAATCTCAAGGCATAATTAGTTTCATCAACACTTATTGATTCATCCAGCAGCCACTCTGGATTAGTTGCAGGTAAACAGAGACTTAGCACACAAACCTCTTCTGTTTCACACTCACGTAAGCAAGCTTTGTAAACAAAACTAACTTTCACTAACTTCAGAAAAATTCAAGCACAACCACCAACCAAAACTGGTCCCTAGGCACTCCTATACCACCAAAACCACTGCACTTACCCTTAATTTCCAAAATCTTTCCTGTCCACACTAACAAATACAGATGCTATACAGAAGACAACATGCAGGTTCTTGTCACATCAAGCTATTCCAAAATATAAAACAAGTTTGAAACATCTCCTTCTCAGGCCTGGCAAGAGAATCCAGTAGTTTCTCTTTCAATCTGAACTTGCGACATCCACCAAAACCAGGAACACATGGAGGCACTCAGCGTGGAGGCTTAACATCACCACTGACACAACACATTGTCACTTCTGAACGTTAACAGTCCCAAGTAAGGCTTACAGGTGTTATGGCTATGTACTTATCTCCTTAAAACCACAATTTGAAAACTGATTTAATACTGCATGTTCCCTTAATGCCACCACAACGCCCTCAGCTCTTGCCAGAGCATGGCCCTGTAACTGAAGTAACAATTAGAGACAATTCAGCTCCTCTTATCCCAGTGAAGAACTGAAACAACAAGCCAAATATCAGACCCTAACCATTTGCTTTTTAAAAGAATCTCCTATTTAAGCCACTGGATTAGATTTTAAATTAAAATACCTGTAGATCACAGTACTTTGAAGATTAAGTGAAATTTATTCTGAAAACTATCCATCAGAGCAGCAGCTTGTTTCACTCATTAAGAGCTCCAAGTACTCCCTACAAGCAAGAACAGAAGGTGGGGACAGAACCCCCTCCCAGAGCTAAAGGATCTCCCTTATTAATGGAGTTTGATTACAAACACAGCGGGACTAAATACTGGTGTAAATCCCAAGGAACAGCTGAAGCAGCTGCCCACACTTCTTTACTAAGTGGTGTCAGTGGTGCTAGATGAGTGAACTGTGATGAGCTACTCAACAGCTGAACAAGTATAACATACTGCGCCAAGCTTCAACTTAAATGAAGCTGTAACAAAGATAACGTCACAGTAAATCACTGCCATATGAGGAAGCCCCTACCTTCAGTAGCAGAATCCAAAGATGGAAGAATGCACATTTTTGAAGAAAAAAAAAAGTTGTAACGCTACAAATTGACATTTAGAAGCATACAGTTGGTTATTACTGCTGCCATCGCTATTACAGCAACGTACTACAACGGAGAGCACCCAGTGGGACCATCTGGGAATTCAATTGGTAGCAGCTCATTAAGTGGTACTACACAGGTAAAAGTAATAGCCTGAATCCTCTGTCCTCCCAGCTATCATGTATCTCAACTACATCAAAACGCTACGGAGACATGACCAAGCACATCCTCTGCAGACACCTCATTTGTTGTTATGGCATCCGAGTGCTGTGCAGTTTATACATGCTCACTGTCATCATCTGGCAGAAAATTGTGAGACAGCAGAGTCATAAACTTGCGTTTTAATGGTCTGAAAATTGCCCATCATCATGGCTAATTGATTTCCATTTTGTGTTGTGAACCCAAACCTCACTCTTGCTTTGCAGCCACCCAGCAGCCTGCAGGCTCAGCATGCAGCTGCTGCCTTCCTCCATTCGCTGCCCGCCTGGAGCACAAGTATGTTTAGCAGCTAGGAGAGTCACTAAAGCAACCACAGGCTGAAATTAATTGAACAGGACCATATGCAAGGCCAAAGAAGTCCATTCATCTGATAGCAATGGTAAATCAAAACAGTCTGATTGAAATTGTTACACAACATTGAGTGGGAATGATGAGACAACTGATCTGATCTGTCCAGAGAAAAATTAACCTGCTGCAGAATTGACAGAGATGCACTTCCACAGCAAAGCAGCACTTGACTAATTTGTCCAGAAAGACAGAGCATGAACTCATGCTAAATGAGCCTTTTCTTGTCTTTTGATTTTCTGCCAGTCCAGGCAGAATATTGATTAAATTATTTTCTACCTTAATTGTGTCTGTGCAGCTTTACTGGAACTGCAAGCCAAGGAGCCTATATTCAGGTTTCACCCTGCCAGAAGCTGGACAAACCCTCAGCACCTATGCACAGCACAGATTAGCCTACCCAAAGCTATGAGAAACTCTGCTGGTATTTAGAACACTTACTTGACAGCATAAGAGCCTGGGAGCAAACAAGCAAACATCTGAGCAGAAACACAGTCCTCAGAGGCATTAATCCCAGCACACTGTGCAGATCAGGGAATTGCCAACATTTGAACTAAGGCTTATGTTTAAACAAGAAACAATTTTTTAAACCTTACAAAAAAAAAAAAAGCTTAAATCCAGTCTGCAAAACACAATTCACAGAAGGCAGACCTTGTAACTGTACAAACCCACTGCAGAAACACTGTTAATCTCCTGATCTTCTTTTGGGTAAACATCAGTGCTTTCCTATGTATACAGCAAAGCATTCTCAGGATTATTAGCAAACAGTGTCATGAGGCAGATAAAAGCACTGTTTTTTAAAAAGAAGTAATAATTCATTAGGATGAAATTAACATCAAGGCCCTTCAGAGAGCCATGGGAGGGACTTAGAAGGGCAAATTTCAGAAGCCGGTGGTCAGGGCTCACAGATAACCACAGCAGCAGAAGACAGTAAAACATGACTCAGAGCTTCCCTCGAGCCCTTACCAGCACCGCACCCAGGGGAACAACAGCAAGGCTTGTTTCACATCATCTTCTACCACGGTATTTCTGACTTTAGAAAAAAATGGATTTCAGAAGTGAATTTGACCACAAGCACTGAGCAGTGATCACAAGGTGGGGCTGCACTGGGATCCTTTCCCTCTGTAGGAAAGCCTCGGTGTTCCAGCTACCAACTCCATGCATGCGCATGTACCTGTGCCTTCCAACAACCCACATGCTGGGGCTGCTTCCCAAACACTCACAGCAGTTCAGCCATAACGAATCAACAGCCCCTGAGGCCCACATTCATGCAGAACTTCAGCGGCCTCCCTTCACTGCATGACAGAAGATGAGTGCAAGTGTCACAACAGACCCATCACAGCTTGGAACACCTAAAGAAAAATATTGCTTTGACTTTCGCTGAGCTACTTCGAGCAGCAATACCCATTAAATCACAGCCAGTCCACACCACATCCTCCCCACCAATAAAGCATTTTTCAAAGGCCAAACATCATCCTGCTGTCCAACTACCTCACACTTTCATTTATAAACAGTGAGGCTGAATAAACAGGGACTACACCATCCCTGTAAGCAAGTGGTTCAAGTTAGCGAGGAGTCACAGAACAGTTCATTCTGCTTTCAGGGGACAGCCCCACCCCATCTGCAGTCACATCTTCCACAAGCGGTGTTTTCAGACAGCCAAGCACCACTCCAAAGACAGCCGACAGGATAAGCAAACTGGCAACAATCCTCTGTGAATGCTTTATTTCCTTGCTCATTTGTCCTTTTCTGAAGCCACAGCAGCTGTCAGTGCCTCGTGGGCTGGTTTCTTCCTGGGGGAGGAAGGAGAGCGGGTGATGGCAGGGCCCGGTTCCTCCTGCATCCTGTTTACAGGCAGCACCCAAGTCTTCCACACTGATGCGGAGGAGCAGCAGCCCCTGAATGACGTCTGCCACGATGAATGCAGGGCCAGCACCTCAGAGAAGGCTCCACACTGGTGGCCTCCGCATCTCCTCTCACACCACCCTCGAGCCTCACACACAAACACACCCTGTCCAGCAGCAGCACAGAACTTCACCTAGCTGGTAGGTGCTCACAGTGCTCCCAAGGCACCCCCTCTGATGATTTTAGCTCTGATGAGCCTGGACATCTCACACGGGACACTCAGAGCAGCCAGGCATCTCTGAGCCAGCAGCTGGTCAAAGGAGCAGCCAACGGCTTCCCCGCGAGGCCAGGCTTCGTGCAGCTGCTGAATGCACGTGGATTTGAGGAAATGAGCATCGTGCAGGACAAACCAGTCATACAACCATCACGGCTGGAAAACAACTATGAGATCATCTAGTTCAACCATCAACCCGTCCCCGCCACACCCGCTAACTTTGTCCTCAATGCATGGCTCTGACCACACAGCCTGAAGAAATAAAGCAGCATCCATTTCTACTGAACCTCATCTGTGATAGCTTGTTTACTTCTCATACATCAGTGCAGAGCACTCATCGACAAAGTATTAATTCCTCTTTTTGTTAAAAAGGAAACAGAGAAAGGAAAGAATAGATCTGTCAGCAGAAACTTTGGGCACGTCAGACAGCAGAGACCACATGGTCCCAGGAAAACACCAGCATGCTCCAACACTGCAGCTCCTTGCTGCTGAGAATGGGTTTCCCAGCACCTGAAGGAAGAAGGGCAGAAGCCTTCATCCTGCCTACAGGGTATCTGCATCAACAAACTAGCTCTGCTTTTCCAAATGCCAATTAAATTAAAAGAAATTAAAAGCCAAGCTCACCATGCTTACTAACAGTGCCATGCAGCTGATTGTGAAATGACTGCAGGAACTCCTGCTCTTCAGTTCACGTTGACACTGTATTCCATTACAAGCTTAAAATACAACAGACAAGTGGAAAAAAAAGAAAATGTCCAAGTCCATGACATTGACAGTAAATCTTGTGAACAGAACACTTGGCTGCAAGCATGCAAATACACCACAAAGCCTTGATATATGATGAACTTCTCCAAATACCTCTGTGGGCAAGGTGCTCTTCTACCACTCAGCTTCCCCAGCCACCAACAACACAGGTGTGCTTGCACTTAAAATTTTTACCAAGTCCTCAAGGGAACGTAACAAATCAAGCTTATAAGGGTTTTTTGTTGTTGTTCTTTTGTTTTAAAACTATCCTAATTCAGCTTGTGATTTCATGTGTTCAAGGCCACAGATGAATTAGAAAGATGAAACAACACTAACACTTTTGTAGGGTAGCAATAGGAACGAAAGAGAAACAGCATTTAATCACTGAGAAGCAAAACACTGTTGCCAATGGACTACTGCAAAACTGGTAATATTTAACTGCTTTATTGTTTATAGAGCTCTTTAGCTCCCAAAAGATGTTTTTAAGCACCTGTTAAAAAAATGCAATCGGTTTCAGCTAAGCAATTTCTTTCACATATATGTAATTAGCTCAAGTCAGCATGAACTCTGCCCACATACAAGTTATTTGTGGGTTTTGCATCAGCAAAACACGACTGGAGCTGGACCTGGGAGTCAGCTGCCAGCCAGCGCTGTGGATTATTCCACAAGGATCACTACTCGCTACTGCTGGAAAAGTAACTCTAGATTCAGCTGACAACAACATTTTAGAGGTGCAACACATGCAAAACAAACAGCTTAAGGAGGTATGAACTCTCCACTTTACACCCTTGGAATACAACTATTGCTTCCTGCAGCTCTGCTACCATTCATGTTATCATTTCATGACTGCGCACCATAACACACCACATATTATTGTTACCAGGAAACAAAACTCTCTCTTGAAGGTAGGTTAAAGCTGCTCTGCTCAGTAAACAGTAGTAATATAACATAAGCTATGCAAACACACTGATGAATGAGCATCTTTGATATTCAGGAGTATCAGCTGCCTACAGCACTTCAGAAAGTAATGATTATATTCCCCAGGCATTTTGGTCTGCTTCTAATAAAGGTGTAGAAAAATACAACCTTTCAGTCTTAATACTTATTTGCCATTATGACTTTTTAAGTTGTATTGCAATTGGACACTGCCATCCTGTACTTTGTAGCAATGCATCAATGACTATTAAGTGTCCCAAACAAAAATAGAAGTTGAGCTGTTTATTATTTTTGAGATATTTCAGATTCAAACATGGGGAAGAAAAATCACTACTACCTAAGCAAGCACAAGGAGTATCTAAATATTCGGAATGACCATAAGCCTGGAGTACTGTAATATGGATAAAAAACAACTGTGTGAGCCACCAAACCAAAGCAGGCAACTGGTTACAAGTGATCTGCTGCAGGGGACCATTAAGTGCCTCCAATAAGCTGCCAAGTACACACTCTGCAACCCCTTGGATGACACCAAAGCAAGGGGAGCAGACACAAGGTAAGAATGTGAGCTCCCATTCAGGGGATCCAAATCATCCAGAGGAACAGGTTGAGCGAGACCTCTTGAGCATCGTGTGAGACAAGAAAAGGACAAGAACTGGAGCCATTCAGCCTCCTTCAGAGGAAAGGAAGGCTCGAGAGAAGCTCACCACTGCCTCCCACCACCCCGCAGGTGTCCATAAGTAAGATGGAGTCAGACTCTTTCAGAGATACCCTACAGAAGGGCAAACAGAGATGGCATCAAGTTGCAACAAGAGAAATTCCTTGTTGGACATGAGAAAATTCTTCACAATGAGAAAAAAAAAGCCCCCACACAGCAGCCCAGAGAGGCTGTGGGACCTCCATCCTTGGAGGCACCCAAAATAAAACCAGAGAAGGCCTTGGATGTTCCATTGCAACTGACCCTGTTCAGAGCAGGAAACTGGACTAGAGATTTCCCAACCCAATTACACAGAATTTAATCAAAAACATTCCCACATTAAGCTCAGCAGGTAGATGAGTAGCTACTCCTCAAGTTTAAGCATTAATTAAGAAAGCACCTGTGTTCATTTAAGCACTTACAGTTATGACAATAAACAAAAACAGCAGGACGGCTTTCTTGTTCAGAGCTTTAAGTGGACAGTGATCCTCAGAAAAGGAATTATCCAAAACTGCTCAGTGTACAATGAAAAGGAACTTCAGGCATTATTCACTTGATACAAATGTTCCAATTAGAAGTTTCCATGTGTTTTTTTTTCCTCTTACATTTGTCACCGATGTTTATGGAGGAGTCATGAGCAAACAGAGAAAGAAAACATTATCATCCCACTTCACAGATTGGAAACTGATGTAAAGTGAGTTTTCAGCCTCTCAAACTTTGAGAAGCTGTGGCCTGATTTATTTATTTATTTATTAACTTTCTACCCTATCTTAGCAGCTGACACATTCAAACCACAGTTTCTGTGGATTTCAGCTGCGGCTGTGACCCTGCAACAGTTTCTGCAGAATCACAGACAACTGTTCCAAACTAGGCCTCTGAGATGCAAAACACTTTAAGCAGCCTGTTTAGCTCAGAGGATATCAGAGCCAGGGGGAGAAACCAGCTCCTCCACACAGCATCCTGCAGCCCTAACGACCTTGAGCTTCCTGCTGCAGACCACTCACCTACTGCTCCTCCACTGCAATTGCAGCCAAGTTCTGAGCTCTGTAGGAAATCAATCTGCCAGTTCCTAAGCACTCATGACTTTTTTTTTTTAATTAAGGTTTTCAGCCTCATCAAGAACTCAGGAATTTTCATGTGAAAGGCAAAAATGCACATCCAAAGCAAAAAGTCCTTTCCAAGACACTGAAGTTCCTGCTCCAAAGCCCAGTGGCATTACAGGCTGCCAAACACAAGACTGTCACACAAAAAATACCAGCACTTCCATCCATTTCAGCCTGCTGCAGTCCATCAATAGATGCACGGTACAGAAAGCCTGAAACCAAAATGAAAGCTGTCAGACTGTCACCAGCAGGCAGTTATTTGCTGCAACACAAATGCATTAGCACTGGCTGACAACAGGCCTTCAGTAAACAGAGGTCTTTGCACACATGCCATAATTTCTGTGGTATTGCAAGTGAAGCACAAGAAGCTGCCTAAGATGGCACTTTCTGCTTGCGCACTAAGCAAAGTGATTAGGTCAGCCATATGCAGTTTGGTTTTCATCTTCTCCCAGGGGAGAGAGTGTGCATGGCAGAGGAGGATGTTAATATTATAGGCGATTTTAATTAACATGCTGCTACAAGATTACATTAAAGAAAGGCAAAGATGAAAAAACACTCTTTGCAGTTAGAGCACAGGCATTCCTAATGGCCGTTAGATCCTGCAGAGATCTGTTCCAGAGAAAGCACGAATCATTTGCTATTTAAAAGCTATTTTAATCTTCTGCTTGTTCAGTTTAATTTTAAACGCTAAATGAATATCTTAATATTAAGGAAAGTATCCTGTGCATCAGAACCAACTCACACCTTTCTCTCCCCTGCCCCAGCAACTTTCACACCTACACTCCCACACCACAGCTGTGCCCTGGGATGCAGGCAGGGCCCCCAACAACAGCTTGCTGAAGCCATAGGGTTGGGGAAGGGAACCAGACCTTATTGGCCCAGCTCAGGTCATTGCATCAGGCACTACAAAGATATACTTCAGTCTCCCAAACCTGTTTCCCCAACTCCATTACCCCTCACACGCATGCAGTTCTAATTCACAGAGCACCTGAACTGTCATCTGCTGCAACTCCACTCTTCCAGCCTGTAAGCATGTGTGAACATGAACCTGCCCTTAAGAAGCACTTGAGGTTTCAACAAGCGTTGAAGTACACACACAACAGCCTTGATGTTTTAATAACAAAGCGTGGATTGTGAGGCCAATAGAGTCAACTGAGCCTTCTAAAAATGGATTTCTTGTCTGTTCTAATGAGAAAATTACTTGGAACATGGCATTTCTCAAGTAGCATTATAGATATGGTGTCCTCTCCGAGCGAAGACTCAGAGGACAAATCAATTCATGTCCCAGGCCTTTGAGCTATTTCCCTCCAACGCATCAAATGAATGTGACAGTCATTCTGATCTGATTTCTAGCAAAGAAAGGGAGTACAACACACACAAAACTAAATTCTGGATTTCATAGCAATTATTTGAGAAACTCCTTCCAGCAGCAAACGTCACAGTTCAGTGGTCCAGCACCAGTTCAGAACATGAGCATGTTACTACAGATAACATAAACAGAACCAGCACCAAGTGAGGGTTGATGTCACAGTGCCAGAGTCAGTAGGACACCAAAGGAACACGGGCACTCGAAGGGCAGACACCAAGGCAGGCATCACTCCACATCAGACCCAGGTAATGCCACAAAGCCTCCCGCTGCTGTAGGCAAAGAGGAGGGCACAAAAAAACCCAAGTGTCATCATAGAATTTGTTTTAAATAGCACTGAGGAAATACCAGGAGGGCAAGAATTATAGGGAACTGCTCCAGGGTGACATTTACAGTATGTTTGTGAGGGTTTTGTTTTTATATTTTTCAAATAATAGGGACTCGTATGTATGCTGGCCTGCTCTCTGGAGCACTTCGCTAATTAGGTCAGCCAACACATCGCGTGGCAGCCTAAGTGAGAATTAGTTGTATTACTATTAATTTACACTAACACTATGATGACAAGTGCCAGTTCTGAGACAGGAGGGTTGGGTCAGCCGCAGAGAAGTCTGCAGCAGAAAGAGCTGATAAACATGCTGCCGTTGCCCTGTGTTTACCCTCCAATATCAAACAAACATTCTTGGAACATGAACAGAAAAGAACAGAAACTAGAGAAATTCCGTATCTTTTCTCACAGCTAAGGCTGGCATCAATTCCATCCTCAATAAAAAGGGCTCTCATCGACATCTGCTCAAGAAGATGGTATCAGTTTCAAGACACTTCCCTTTATTAGAACTAATTAGGCTCCTTTTACAAGGCAAAATGAATAAGAAGAAAAAAAATTATGCACTTTCACAGCCAAGCTCAGTCTCACACACTTGGCAGACACATCAGATGGAAATGCAAAAGCTTAAGCTACCCCCTCCACTGGGAACTGCAACAACCACCTGTCATGAAACACACTGCCCATGGTGGTTCACGACCACCTCAAAATACAGAATTAAAATATATCCATGCGTTTTAGCTACCAGGTCTTCTGTTGCACTACTGCATGCTGATACATTCAAACAGAAAGCCAGTAGCAACTTGGGGGTGTTTGCTCGATGGGGGTGCTGTTATTGGTTTGTTCGTAAGTTTACAAAGGGCAGTCGGTGTCAACTGTTGACAACTTTTAAAAGAGTTACAATGCTGTAATGCTGCTCGTTTTGCCAAAACCCTCTCTCAGTTGTTTGTCTGCACTTCTGTTTGCAGACTCTCAGTCCCTCTTACTCCAGCCCAGAGGACCATGGAGTAATATTGCAACAGCAACTCTATGCTGATGACAGCAAACAGAATCCATCATGAGAAACCCTCTTGCCTGTCATTGCCACCCCTAGCAAAAACAGATACTCGCCTAGGAAACTGACTCCCTGTCACAGAAACTACCTCCATTCTATACTACTTCACAACCCCACAGCACTTGCAAACTTTCGAGACCTAAAGTTAACTTGTTTCCTTGAAAAGGTGCGAGACACATCTATTCGGTACCATTTAACAAATATTTATGGCAACATTCAAAGCATATGGGTTTTTAAATGCAACCTGATTTTAAACATCAGTTATACACGTTCATTAATTTCCTAGTGATCTGTATCTCTATAGCAAGAGAATAAGTGTTGGAAGCCTTTTTAATAGCAGCTGAATTGATATACACATTTGAAGAAAAAATGTGAGAGGACATTAGCACATGGCCAGCTAAGGATGACAATCTTGTTTCACTAGTCAGTTGCAGGGCTTTTAGCTTTCAGCTTTGTAGATAAATGAGAACCAGTTATTGCAAGCCATTTCTCTCAGAATTATCTGAAAGCCCCTCAAGGGGCTGAAAAGATTTGTTATGTGTCCCTGGTACGTCTTCTGCCCAGCTCTCTGCTAGCTCACAGACACAGGATTCTGCTTTCTGGTTGCAATATTTTTATGTTATTTGAATGGCAATTATTCATGTATCACACAAGCACTTGCCAAAGCCCACTCCCACTGCTTTGGAACTACTTTGGTCATTCCATCCTGAGCAAGGCAGAAATGAATGAAAACGACCAAGATTAAAACTAAAATTGCTGAACACACATAATTCCTCATTGTGGCAATGCCACATTAATTTCCTGAAAATAGAGCAGCAATTTGAAAGTTCTAGTTTTAAATCAAGTCAGGCCACTCTATCAAATCACTTTACTAAGTAGTCTTTCAATAATTTGAAGCCATTTGAAGTGCTGTCTCCTAATAACTGCTTTCTAAATGGAAATAGGAAACAAGAGTTGAGCAGGAAGCACAGCCTCTCGGACTCGCCTTTGTAATCTACTTCACTGCAGCTTAGCGGTCACACTATTACAGACACCAGTGGGGAAAAGGCAGCTCAGCTTCGGCTGCTCTCAGACACTCTGATGCTGATCACACACTCCTAAGTAGGCAAGATAATTTCCTGTCGGATGCCTGGAAGAGCAGTTTCTCGAGCACTCCGATTCTGTTAGTGCAGAAACAAAGCGTCTTCCACCACTCCAAAGAAACAGAGCCCTTACAAGCGTAGAAAGAGGCACTGTGAGCACAGGCAGCCTCAGCTTCACCCAACACAGAATTACACTCCTGCACAAACCGTGTGCTGACACGGGACCGCACTTCTCCACGCTGCGTGACCACACGCTGCCCACGCCCTGTGAGAGGAAAGCCAAATACAGAACTTCCAGCAGAAACCGGTTTCTAAACCCGCTGTTTTAGGCACTGACCCACCGCGTGGGTGCACCAAGCACCTACGGTTCTGCTGGCACAGACAGGCCGAGCTCAAAGCTGGCACAAAGTTTGGCTTTCTGGAAACGCTAGAAAAAAGAAAACAAACAAGCAAACAAGAACGAACACCGCCAACAAGTTTGAACAGCTCCCCGCATTCCGCTAAGAAATTAAAAGCCACCAAAGATGAGAACACCGGGGCACATTCCCGCAGCCTGACCACGTGGCCGGGCGCTAACGCAAAAGCACACCGACGGCCTCAAAGCTGCCGCCCGTCCCAACACAGGCTACGCAGGGAACAGACAGAGCGGCAGCCCGCATCCCGCCCCGCTCGGGCAGCCCCCGCGGAGGACGCCGGCCCCGCCCCGAGCTCCGCAGGCAGCGGCGGCCCCGCAGCCCCGGCCCGGCGCGCCCACCTGTACTGCCAGCCCTTGGCGCCGCGTCCGCCGCTCTTCCCCGCTGCCGCCGGCTCCGCCCTGCCTTCGCCCTCCGGCCCCTTCACGGCCGCCGCGGGGTCCGCGCACTGCATGGCGCCCCCGGCCCAGGGCGCGCCGCCGCCGCCGGGCGGGCAGCTTCCCCCGCACGGCCCGCCGAGCCCGCTCAGGCAGCGCCGGGACCCGGCCGCGCTCGCCCCATGCGGGCTGCGATGGCGGCGGCTCTCCCGCACCCCCGCGCCGCCTCGCTCGGCCCGGCTCCCCGCACGGCCGCCGCGGGCTGTGGGAAGCCCGCCCTCCCCGCTCCCTCGCCCGGCCGCCTCTTCCGGGGCAGCGCCGCCGCCGCCATCTTTAGTGCGGGCAGCGGCCGGCGGAGGCGGGGCGCCGCCATCTCCGCGCCGGGCGGGCGGTGGCTGTCGGACCGCCGCGCTCGGGGACGCGCCCCGCTTGTGAGCGGCGTAGCATTAAAAAAAAAACAACAAACGCGCTGGCCGGTTGGTTCTGCTGTTCGGAGAAACGTAGGGAGGCAATCACCAAATTATCCCCGTCAGAGGGCGTAAAGCCAAGCCGTCCAAGCGGGACAAGCTTTGCTGGGGATGGAGCGGCTCTCCCGGCTGGCTGATGCCCTCTAGTGCGGGATGCGAGTAATTCATTTCAAACCTAGCGCCCGACCTGAGGCGGAGAGACCTCGGTTAGTGGGTTTATGGTTCTGCTCCACGTCTCATTCCATCTAATCACCTCTCCCTCCTCCTCTCTCCAGCCCACGGGCAGGGTGTTTGGCTGAGCATCTTCCAGGCAGCCTCTTGCAGCACGCCTGTAATATGGGAAACAGCACAGTGCCCTGTATGGGATCCTACATAGCTCATAGAGAAGCAAACGCAAAGGAGATGTTCTATATTAGCCCATCTCCATCCCTCCTTGTCAGCACACACAATCTCAGCTAACACAGCCCAGTGAGGGCTGCCTGTTACACCGACAGCTGCAGTGTCACTTACAGAGACACATCACCATTGCACATGCATAAAATCCTCCACTTCTGTGTTTTTACAAGACCCACTGGTTCAACAGAAGCAGAACGTCACCTGTGCCAGGTGATAAACTGTTTTGCTTCCTCCATGCACGGGCGTTTTTCTTTTCTCAAAGCGCTGCACTTGCAATACCAGAGATTATCGTAAGGTGGCACTGACAACTGCATGACCAGATGTAGTAAGAGTGTGCTGTTCAAGATGTCATTTAACTTCAGTTTACACTCGCTGCTGATTATTACTTGTGGTCAGTTTCACTGCTCTGATCGCCTTCCCCAGTTGTAGCTTAATGGCTCAAAGTGCCCAAAATCGCGCCTTGGCCCTCGTAGAAACAGCATAGGGTGAGCACAGAGGTGCCGTGGCGAAGCACCCTGCTGCAGGTGTGTCCTAATTTCTCATTTTGTTAATTCTAGAAAAACATCCAAAACTTTGTATTGCTCTTGCAGATTTCTTCCAAATCTTACAGTCTGGATATACATGCTTAGCATTTCTTCTGGTTAGTGTCGTTCCTGCAGAATACCAAGATCTACCCACGTTCAAAGACTAGAGCTCTAAAACCCAGCATATTATCCAATCACTTGTGTGCTACAAAAAAAAAAAAAAGAAAAAAAAAGAAAAAAAAAAAACCACCAAAAAACCACACCTGTAGTTTTTCCAAATAGAAGTTACACAGGTTCTCTATCATTCTCCTGTTAGTTGGTCAGGACTTTTTTTCCTAATGTAAATCATACCTTTGATGAGCTTAACTTAAAATTAAACCTGTGTCCTCCTCTGGTAGCCAGTGCAGAGAAAATAAGAAATGAGTGTTCCTGCTTGCTAACAGAACTGCATCCTCTACAGACTCGTGGAGGAATAACATAAATCCTGGAAAAATAGAAGTATCACCTGCCTTCCTTGCACAAGGAGCGCTTGTTTCCTAAGCATTGCTGAACTGGGAGAACTGGGAAAGCTGCTGACTAATGAGAAAATGACCAATACTGATTCACATCCACATTGGTTCATTGTACAATCAATCCTTATTAGAGTTAGATTCTTTCTTCAGGTGGCTGAGATTAGAGTTTATTAATAGTCTGGAATATATTTTATGTTTATTGGGCTCTTCTACATAATGAATATGAAAGAACTTCCTACTCTTACCATGAATAGAAAATATGTTGCCCACTACAGGTCTAGATGCCATAACACAAGAACACAAAAAAAGAATATAGCTAACTGAACAGCCTTTCTTCTACAATACACTGGATGCACCACTGTATTCTCCTGATCATACATGAGAATAGCCAAGAAGATCAGGTGAATGTAATACAAACTTACTTCAGCCTCCAGAGTATTTTATGCTGTTTAAGAGGAAGTCTTGATTATGAAGCTTTACAGGTATCTCTGTATTACTGGGTCTGTGGCTTTGCAGGAAGTTAACATATGAAGCTGTGTGCTGTTTGACTTGTGGGATCACTGGCACTTGCTTTTAGTGGTTATTCACCACTCCTTCATCACTGACTTCTACTGAGTCAAAACCTTTATTCTGTGTGTGCTTTTCAGTCACCGTCAGTCATAAAGGTGTTAAAGAGTACCAGTCCCAAGACAGACCCCTGGGGAACACCACTGATCATTGGCCTCCACCTGGTCACAGAGCAATTGACTACAGCTCTCTGGCTGCTATCTTCCATTCAATCCCTTATCCACCAAATAGTTCACCCTTCAAATCCATCTCTCTCCAATTTAGAGGTAAAGATGTGGTGGGGGACCATGTCAAAGGCCTTGCACAAATCCAGGTAGATGACATCTGTTGCCTTCTCTTTGTCCACTGACGCTTGTCACTCCATCATAATTCCCTTCCTCCTCTCTATCAATCTTTGTGCACTGCTGCGATGCAGAGTAGCTCAACTATAATTCAAAAGTCCAGCCATAAGCATCAGAGCCACAGATGGCAGCAGTTCATGCTGCCTCAATTGTTGCCTTCCCCATCCACAACCCACTTGCATCCTTCACAGTCACATTTGACACCATTTCCAGTAAGTATGACTTTGCATTGAATCACGCTCTGGGCTCCAGCGTTACATCACCCAGCACAATGCAGATTCAGACACACCAGAGACAAGGGGAGCACATGCTATGGCTGTGGTTCAGGTCTTCCCAGCCCTTTTATCTGCTTCATGACCACCTTCAGCCTTTTTCTACCCTACCCTATGGCACAACATGGCATTCCTGCCTTCCACTCTTCTGCAGCTCACTGTGAGGATTCCTGTGCTCCGTGTTTCTCAATCCTCTGAAAAGATAATGTGTTTTTCTTTCAATAAATGGAACAGCTGCTGAATTAGTTCAGTTCTTCAGTCACTAGCCCCTTCTCCTAGAAGCCTTTTTGTGCTTTTCTTCACTCCTACACGTTTTTTTCTGCATGGTTTCTATGGCAACCCATGTATCTCTCCATCTGCTGCAGATCCCTGTTACCATGTTTTCTTTCTTGTCACCTCTGCCAAATAACATTCCCAGGTGTATCACGATAACAAGATTAGATTGGAAAGCAAGCCAAAGCACTCAGTAGTTTTGGTAGTCAAACCTGCCATATGTAATCCCACTGCTCCATTGCCATGTATGCTCTACCTATGTCCCAAATGTATCAGCATGCTCTAATCAATTCTGTAGCCACTTCATAACATCCAGATTACATCCTTCCTTCTCATTACAGCCTCTGCTGCCTACAGAGTAGGTGTATTTGGATTCTGGAAAGCCTGTGTAGCTCTGTTGCCTGAGGAGTGCTTTGAAGACAGTTACCAACAAGGGCCATTTTTTTTCCAAGCAAATGCATTTTTCATTTCTGCTGTAACTGTATAATATTTTATTTCTCCTGAATGCCTTCTCCATTAGATTACAGAAAGCCCTACACAGTAGGGACTGTATACAACTGACTCTCCTGTCCATGCTGCTTGATTGATGAAAACTGTCTAGAATTTGCTTAGATTCCTATAGCAGAAAATGAAGTTGCACTTTAGGCCTAAGTACTTTTGAAAAACTTATTTAAGTGTGGGAAAAAAAATACATTCCTGCTATATAATCCAATCAAAAGCCTGCAGCAGAGAACTCAACTGAATAAAATGAATGGAGCAAAAATGTCACTGTTGATTTGTTTCCTAGATCCCATGAACTGGTAAAGTCAGACTGCAAGAAATCCACGTGGAAGCAGTAAAACTGTAAGTAATTTGGACTGTGAGTTCTTACAGACAGAAACTGACATGATTTGTTTGTATCCAGCACCCTGGAGGATCTGTGTTGAGATATTAGATGCAGCCTCGATATAAATGGCTGCTATTTAACACCTAGAATTAACAGTAATTATGCATACAGTGAACTAGTATTTATACATACATACATTTTTGCAAAACTTCAATTGAGAGTGTAATTCAGGAAAAACTTGTGTGAAAAAAAATCCATTGGAAATCACATAGGCCTGTGATATATTAGTAATGCTGATGCTAATACTGCCCAACACTGAAGGTGTGGGTTAGATGTGATGCTGGCAGTTTAGGTAGAGCTATAGTTAAAATTCTGCCTCTATGTGCTTATGAAAGATGTGAACTGCAATGCAGATAATGCAGGACATCTCAGAAATACACAGAAAGTGTAGGGAAAAGGGAAAAAAAGTGATATGCAGAGAAAGCTATCCTTCAAACATCAACAGTTAAAGGTGTAGCAGCAGAACTGCTCAAAATCAAAACAAAGCAGACCATGCACAAGGATGGAAATCAAGATATAAAAGGTTTTATCTGCATCGTTACAAAGAAAACAAAAAGGATCACCAGCAATGGCAGTAGGGTAGAGAGCTAGAAGCTAAAGAAATACGTTGCTTCAGTTTCCATAAAGAAAATTATGCAACCCTGGAGGGCAGAGGCAACTCACTTAATAGGCTTAAGGGCATGGCTATGGAAATTACCACATGCAATACAGCTGCAAAACTTGAAAGCTCTTCACCCTTCAGTTCTGAAGAATGAGTAATCTCCATCACCAAAATCTATAGGTTGGTCAGCACAAAATCTCTTGGCTTTTTAGCACACAGGCCAGAGAGCAAATGAGTAATAAACAGCACAGAGGGAAGCAGGAAAAGGGTTAAAGTGCAAGATAGGCATGTTACATATAGATGAACCCAGTATCTTTCTTTGATAAGATAACTGCATTTGTGGACGAAGGAAAACTAGTAAAATCTTATCAACCTGGACTTTGGTAAAGTATTTGATTTGGTATTACTAGAAAATGTATTAGTTAAACTCAAGAAGATGGGGATTAATGCAAACATGATAAAATGCTGAAGGAGTCTAGGACAGAGGTTAAAAACTACTGATGGTGCTGACAGCAAAGAATGCACCTGGAGGAATCCATATGAATAATGTCATTAAATCAGTTTGGAGCAAAAAATGACAAGCAGAATAATGAAATTTGCTAACAAGAAATCTGGGAGGTGTTTTCAATACAGAGGAAGCCTTACAGGAAGAATGACATGGTTGTTATGCCCTGGTAACAGGCATGGGATGAATTGTAAATATATAAAACACAAGGACATGCACCGATTGACTAATTACATTTCTGCTGTAAATTAAAATTCATTAGCTATGAACAACAGAAGAGGAAAAGCCACATGCCTGATATAATCATTAAAGAGGTAAATGCAATCTTATGTGTAGCTTAGCAAGTATTTCCGGGAACAATCATTAAATATGGACGGGGCGCTGGGTAAAATTCCACTGAGATTTTAGGGCATCGTTCAGGTTATCAGCATTTAGCAAGTCTGAATTCATGCTGGAACAGATACAGAGCAGCAGCGCCCAGATAATCTGAGAAATAGCAAAGAGGAGATAAGTGAGAATGAGCTTGACAGAATGAGTGCTGGGAAGGGATCTGATTCTTCCTTGTGAATACATTTGGGGCAGGAGGTGGGCAGAGAGGGAGAAGCCTCGATATGCCATGCCCTCTAACTTGCTCTCAGTTCCATTCCCACAGAGCAGCCAGCCCCCTATCTCCTCCCTGCCCATCTCCTGCCTGCTGCCGGCAAAGTTTGGCATTTATCAGTCACATTTTATGCGTGTCCAGAGCCCACCTTGTCCCCATGGAGAAAAGCACACCTGACGCACACCTGACTTAAAAGTTAAGAAAGCTTCTTGGCTGTCCTGGTTTTGCAGAAGTGACAGTGAGTCTTTTTGTTTGTTTGCAGCAGCTGTTTGGCTGATCAGCTGGCTTTGTAAACCCAGGCTGTTGATGTGTGTAGAACCTATTAGGCACTGAAGCAGATCAGGTGGGCATGGGTGGGGTGGCCTTGAGAGAGCTGTCCTTATCCTCCCTGCTAACCAGACCCAGCTTTTATGTCTGTTACATTCTAATGACTCACACCTGAGCTAGTTCTCCTGTGCTTATGTGAAAAACAAACACTGTGACTTTGTCAGAGAGAACAGGTTCTTCTCGTTACCTGATAAAACTACAGTCATCAGCATCCACTAATGCTATAAGCAGCTCCAGGGCTTTCAAATCCAAGAAAGGATACGTTTCACTTGGCTATTCTGTGTCCCCACTCAAAACTGCCACTGAGACAGCCCAGGCACCTGAGCCTGCCACATAAAGCAGCCTGCAATAGCCACATGTGGCTGCACTCCTTCCCCTCTCCACAGAGCAGCGATTGCACAAACCCAGAGGAGAGCTCAGCAGCAGCACCAGCTCTCCAATTAGTGTCATGCTGTACAGGCAAATGCGTGCATGCCCAGCCTCAGGCTGCTGCTCCCCATGGATGCTGTAGCATCCATCTGCCTACTCGCCCTCTGCCAACCTCACCCATGCCACCTTCTGTGCACCAACCAAATGGTCAGTGCAAGGTCAGAGTGGAAGCTACAGGCACAGGACCCATTTGTAATTTAAAGTTTTCACTTCAGTTTAGATGAAACTATTGCTGTTTGCAATACTCAATAATTCTGTCTGTTAGGAACACCTCAAGGGAAGGGACCCTTCAGCAAGAAAGGTAGTGATAAGACAAGGAAGGGATAGTAGCTCTGTAGATTTAGGTTAGATGTCAGGAGGAAATGCTTCATTGTGAGAGTGCTGAGACAATGGCTGCCCAGAGAACTCATGAATACGCCTTCCCTGGAGGTGTTCAAGGGCAGGCTAGATGTGATCAGGGAGGAGTTGTTTCTTGCCCATGGCAGGGAGATGGAATTGGATAATCCTTATGGCCCCTTTCAGTCCAAACCTATCTATGGTTACCTGATTGTTGCATGAATTCGATCCAGAAGCCAACACTTTGGTGAGTGTATCCTCACCTCGGGGCCCGAGGAGTCAGCAGGACTGAGCAGCTGAGAAGTCTTGGGGTACAGTAGAAATGGCAGCTCCTCCTCATCTCGGAAGGAGATTTTCTTCATAATAAAAGAAAGAATAAAGCTAAGAGGCCCAAAGGAGCTACACAGCCAGGGAAAGCACAAAACATAAACAAGCTGAAAGTGCAGAAAAAGCTGAAAGTGCAGAAAATGCCTCTAGAACCAGAGCTTGCATGCCTTGGCTATACTCAAACTGTACAACTTACATCAGGCTCCCAGCTTTACCTTCATCTTCAGGAGGCTGTTTTTCACATATTTCCTGGCATTTTATGTGAGCTCAGGACGCAGCTGAGCTGATGAAGCTGACAGCAGGTGGGTTGAGCATATGCCTACCTCCAAAACTATCCCCACCCTTCTCAAAAACACTGGCAGCTGTCCTCAATCTATGAGTCACTGTGTCAGCCTGCTTGTCATGGAGCTGGGTGCTTCTGATCTGGCCCCTAGGCAAGAATAGCACCTGCGGGCTGAGCCTCAGAGCCCAGCAGGAGAGAGCTGGTGGGATGTGGGTGGGGGGAGCACAGGCAGAGAGAGGGCAGGGAAGCATCTCCATTGCACAAAAGTGGGAGAGAAGACTGCTCTGATGAGGAGATGTGGAGGGCTGAGAGGTGACATATGGCAATTTGCAGGGAGTCATGGATGTCAGACCATATAGGGAAAAAGAAAGACTCCACTTTGTCCTGCCTTGCTTCCATTGACATAAGAAGCTGCAATACAGTCCATCGTTCCAGCTTGTCAGTTGAACATGGCTCTTGCAATGTACTCATCCCCTTTCCCTGGTGTTGGAGAGACAGAACCCCATCTGCGGGATGATCCTAACCAGCGTCCATCTGGCTGGCAGGACAGGTGGCACACAGAGCCAGCTCCGCAGACCCCCGCTGTCACCTCACCCCTCCTCTCTCCCCCCTTCCCTCCCACGAGGTGAAGCTCGATCCATTTCCAGCCCCGAGAGGGACCCCGCCGGGCCGGGCATAGGGCGCATCCCCGCGCTGGTGCCGCCTCCCCGGGGGCAGGACCGATTCGGGGCCGCGGGCCCTCGCAGCCTGACGCCCGTTTCTCCCGCAGGCGCCGGGGGCCGGGCCGGAGGCGGTGCTGGTAACCGGGCCGAGCACAGCAGCATGTCGCCGCTCCGCGTCTGCATCGTGGGTTCGGGAAACTGGTGAGTGAAGGGAACCCCTTTTTCTTCCTTCCTTCTTTCCTTCCTTCTCCCATTTTCTCCTTTTTTTTTTTTTTTTCTCGCTGCCAGTCCCTCCGCCTCCTTTAGGCGCATCACGGGATGCTGGGGGCCCGCACAGCGCCGTGCCGGTCTCCCCTGCCCAGCAGCGGGGCCGGGGTCCGCAACAGGTCCCGGCGGGGGTCGGGCGGCGGGGTGCGGGTCTCCATGGTGCTGAAAGAGGCAGCGCTCACCGCGCCGCTTCGCCGCCCCCGGCCGGGCTTGTCCCGTGTTAACGCCCCGGGCACCGACTGGCTGCACCGGTCTGGCATCCCTGCTCTGTTAAAATAATAACCCAGAGGGAAGAGGAAATTCTGCAAGCAGCTGCTCTTAGCTGCGGGCTGGGGGGGTCTCTCTGTATTATAACCCAATTGGGAATTGTCAGACTGTTCGCATGCAGCAAATGCAAACAGAAGAAAGAAATGCAGAAGTCAATGAGAATTGGAAAAACATAAGGCTTCTACTTAAGTGCATGAACTTAAACACTGAAAGTCTGGCACCAGCACAGAATGATCCCAGGGAGAATGAGAGCTGGGCCAGTAGTTGTGTTTGTTTGTGGCAGAGTCCGTGCTGTTCAAATATCAGCCTAAAGTAGTTAGCAGAGCAGCAGCACTGCTCCTATTCCTTTGAAAGAACCAGGACTTGCGGTTCGTTTAACAGCATAACATACTGGCACTCTTCATTTTCATCATTTTTGGCAATCAGTTTTGCATCTCTTCTCAGAAAGAGTGGTGATGCAGTGGCACAGGTTGCCCAGGGAGATGGTAGAGTCATCATCCCTGGAGGTGTTCAAGAATTGTGGAGAAGTGGCACTAAGGCACATGGTTAGTGGACATGGTAGGGATAGGTTGGATTTGGACTGGATTACATTAGTGGTCTTTTCCAAACTTAAAGATTTTATATGCAGATATAGCCTTGTCAAAGCATTGTGCTCAGGTCCCCAGCTTATCCTTGCCTCTGCTTATAGGAATACATCTGCTCCCGCTCAGTCCTTTTTGCCTGGACAAAAGCACTGCTTGCAAAAGCTTCTTGGCACTGACAGCCTCCACTGAAGTCAGTGATCTCTGTCTCAATGGACTTTGCATCTTACTTACATATTGTATAACCTAAGCACTTATGTTCAAATAAAATAAACGTGTATGTGCGTGTGCTTGGGATTAGCAAACAGGTAATTCTTTGGATTGTTTTTGTGCAAGAAGGGCAAGTTTCTTAAGAATTTTACATACCTGACAGCTTACCAGAAGCAAATACCAAATAAAATCAATAGGAGAAGGAGTGGCTGCTTGTGATCTGCTGAGAGCACAGCATAGTTATAGCACTGCTTTTCACCTTCCTGCCATGCAAAACCAGCCCACTGCTTCTTAATTGCCCACACACATGATGTGTTTACAGACCATGGGTTCCTGTGCATGACATCTCTAATGCACGGTCTATGACATGCAGCCATACCACTCCAGGAGCTTACCACTACACAGCTGGGTCATTGCTGCATCTCCTCCTCTGTCCCAGTGGATACAGCCCTCCCTGTCATTTCTGCAATATCATTTCCTCAAATGCCACTGTTACCATGTCATTCTAGAACTTGAATCTCTCCCGTGCCACACTCTTCTTTCTCACCTTAAACACAGATATCCAAGCCTACACAAGCTGCTTATTTTGCTTCCAAGATTCTCAAGAGCCATGGCCAAACGTCTGGCATTGTTGATCAGCCAACAATTACTCTCTCGCTACATCCTCAAGCAAGCATCTCACACCCCATCCCAGGCTGTTCTTTCACCATAAAACATTCTCAAAAGCCAGTTAGTTGTTTTTCTTCAGACTGTAGTATAGAGAGCTGATTTTCACAATGTGTACAGACTTGCAAAGAGCTGATACATAGATACTGAGAACCCAGACCCCAGGACGGCTCAGTGCAGTCTGCTTACTTGTTCTGTCTGCGTTCATCTCTTGCTTCCTACCATATGGATAAACTGTAAAGTCTTTATGAAGGAGAGAAATGTTTTCTCTAGTGTTTAAATCACACCTGTTCATAGCCTCTCTAACAGTACAGGTAATCTCAGCACGACACAGAAGAGTGTTTTCCTTTGGCAAACACCATTTCCTTACATTCCTCCTGAATACTTGGGTGACAGTTCAGACAACTGTGCTCAAGCCTTTCCTGCAGCTCAGAAACGTGGCTGACACGTGATGCAGCGTGTTGCAATAGCTCATGTCAGCTGCAGAAGTTCAGCAGCTCACACTGGCTTACTAAGTCAACACTGTCAGGAGAATCAGGGCTGATGCGGTTAAGTAACACAAAGGCTACACCACATCTTGTAGCTGTCAGCCAGGCACAGGAAGGGCTCTGTTTATGTTAACCGTTGTTCAGTTATCTGTTTGTTAAAAGTACAGGTTTATTTCATTGTCTCACTCTTTGGAACATAAAAGCTCTGCCAAACTTATTATATTCATTTGGACACTCTGCAATGAAGAGCTGGCTTTAACTAGGCACGTGTCTTTACCATGCACAGATGGCCAGGCTTTTTACAGAGGTGTACAGAAGGAAGATGATTCAGTAGTCATAAATTAGGCTGGAGAGGCTCCAACTGGATATTTAGAATTAAAAAAAAAAAAAAAAAAAAAAGCTATGAGAATGCTAAAGCACTGGGACAAGTTACCCAGAGAGGAGAGAAGGTGGTCCCTGAAGAGTATTCAATACTCAGCTGAACAAACCCAAGTGACCTGATCCCAATTAAGGGCTGTTCTTGCTTTGGAGACTTCTCGGGGTTCATTCCAACCTGATAGTCAAAATGTTTCATGAAGCCCTTTCAGCTCTGATTTTCACCAGTTCCAAAGTATTTTCATATTTGCATATGTGAAAGAGCGGGTCTTATTTAAATTACACTTAATGAAAAATTTTTCCTATTTACTGATAAAAAAATCTCCAGAAAAGTGACAGCTTTATTTCTTAGCAATACGAAAATCCCTTCCAACATGATTTAACATAACTGAGGAAGAGGACCGACTGGCATTTTCACTCACTTTAAAAGAATAATCTAAGTTCTCAGTCATCTATGAATCTTCATGGAATGGTTTTAGAGAGAAAAAATAGCGTGGCAAAGTCTTTAGCATGCAAGTGTCCTTGGTTTTGTTTGCACAAGCAGGCCTTCCTGTGTAGTCTACTGAACACTGGCATCACAGACAAAGCAATTCTTTCCAGCTCTGATTAGTGGGGACTGTAAGTTTTCAATGGCCCAATTAAAACAGCGCACTGCTTTTTGGACTATATTGTTCCATAGCCATTTCCCCTAATGGCTACTAAGTGCCTTTAAACATTAAATCTTGTCTCCTCCAAATTTCTGTTTGCCTTAAGAGAAACCAAACAAAAATACTGTGGTTTATGAAGGTACCTTTACACGTAATATGTCTTCAGCTCAGTGCTTATGTGCTTTCTTACTGATACTGATATGGTACTGAGCCACAAGTCAGCCTCAGCTCAGGCCTTGGTTGTTCTCTCTGTTGGAGAGGAGGGGAAGAGGACCAGGACACAAGACACCTTATAGATAATAGGAACATACTATGAACATATGAGTGCTCTTGAAATAAAGGTTTACCCCAAAAATGTTTACCTTACACTTACAAAGAACCAAAACAAAACAAATTACATTTTTTGTTGGTTTGGTTTTTATTTGTTTGGTTTTTTTTAAAGAAAACATGATGGCTGCTTAGAATATAGTATGCAGCCAACACTCTGGTAAAGTGAAAACTTACCTTAGTGGGATTTCTTTGTGGTTAAAGATTAAAACAAAGCCCTTATTCTTTATTACCTATTGAGCAATTACCTATTAGCATTGTGCAAAGCTTCCACATCAGAAATAGATTTGAGCCAAGTTACCTTGTGGTTTTCCTTTGAACTGCTCACAGAGCAGACCTCACTGGACTTTGTCTGGGATGCACTTCATCAGCTACAGAAAACTGAACATAACTGAATCCTGCTCACACCCCTTATTGTGCACATGTTCCAAGTAGATCAGAGGATAAGAATGCTGTAACTGGAGCCCCTCTTTCAGTTATGTTAGGTACTCCAGAAACCATTACAGTGATCATTAAAACCACCTCTAAAGAGAAACCATCAGGTTCAGTTTGTTTTGTTGTAACTCCTTAGCATTTATCTCTTACATAAAACCCTTATTGCAGCTGTCTGGTTATTGGTAGGGAGCTGGCATATATCTGTGTTAGATGCAATGCACACAGGCTGTCATAGCAGGATCACCTGGGGTACTGTATCGCTTTACATTTATTGGTTTTTATATTAAAAACAATAATCTGAGGAGCAATAGATATTTAATTATAATAGTGCATTTTTAGCATTGTTGAAGGCACATCCCACTTCTACTCTGCAATCTTTCATATGACTTCGGATTCTTTATTACATCTAGTTCTAATTGCTGTGATTTTAAACTGAGCTTTTTGCTTTTATATAGAGTAGTGGATAAAGCTTTCTGACAAACTTAGTAAGCACATGAACAGCTTTATAGAACAGGACTTTAATGAGATATTATGTTGAAAGCAATTTGTGTTTCTAATTGGCAATTTATTTTTTTTTAAAGGGGATCAGCCATAGCAAGAATTGTTGGCAAAAATGTCCAGAAGTCCAACAGATTTGATTCTACTGTCAAGATGTGGGTATTTGAAGAGCTCATCAATGGAAGAAAGCTCTCAGAAATAATCAACCAAGAACATGAAAATGTTAAGTATCTCCCTGGATACAAGATGCCAAAAAATGTGGTAAGTTGAAAAAAAAAAAAAAAAAAGGTCACTTTTTTTGTATACATATAAGGAAGGCAACACTGCTTCATTCTGGTTTGCCACCTAACTCCAGTATTACAAGTATGAAATATAACCCACTTCTGTGACCTCTGCTCGTCTCCCGTCACACAACTTCAAACACCCACTGTGCCAAGTACAGGTACGTAACGTGCCATCCTCCTCTCCAGCACAAATCTGCATCTCTCTGCCTGCTGTTCCTCATGCTATGTCTACACTGAGCAGAGAGATTTCAAACCCACAGCATCTTCTGGATAAAAAGGGAAAGCTACTGCTCTCCCTTCTTCTAAAAAAGGAAATCAACAGCATGACTAACAGCCATGGCTTACAAGGAGATGAGCAGGGAGCTATTGCTTCTTGGGTGATTTCAGGATAGCAGTGCATTACTACAATTAATAATGCTACAAATTCTACCAAAATATAAGGTATGTAATTTTTGTATACATTTAAAATACCAAATTATACCTCACTACTTAATCAGCCTAGATAATTCAATGCCACTGAAGCAAAGTGAGGCTTTCAGGCTGTTCGAGATTTTGCCAAATGTCAGTGCTCTGTGAATTAAGGAAAGTAGGACTGCATTTCTAGAACAGCTTAGAACAGCCATAGTTGTAAAGGGAAGTTAAGATGCTGCACGTGGTGGGTCTCCATGCCTGGAGAGTAGTTATATTTAGTACTACGTTTCACAGTACTATGTGCTGGGATTGCATTTTTGCACTCCCATGATTTGAACTTGGCACACAGTTCTCCTGGGTTCAGATTGAATTGCCATTGTTACTTTCACAGTCCTGGAACAGATCAACAAGCTTGTTTTCATCATCTGAGAGCAGCCTCAACCCATCTCTAGCGAAGTCTCTGAGATCTCTACAGCATAGAACAAGTGGCTGCACTGAAGGAAGGGCCCCTCACATCTTCACCTCCAACTGAAAAATCATTTTTACCTCTCATTGTTTCTCCACATTTTGGAGAGACAGAAAATCTCTCTGCACATTTCTGGTGATGCAACCCCCCTGTCCTGGCCTCACGTGGCTGTTTTCCTTTCAAGCAGCCTTTCTGGTAGCAATCCTGATTCTTCAGTGAGGAGCCCCACTTGTTCTAAGGTTGCATGCTGTAAGGCTGTGTATCTAAGGGCAATACTTTCTCTGATTGCAAGAGCAGACAAATTCACCTCCGTTTCCTCTGTAATCTGGCTTTAATTATTGTTCTAAGTAACACTAGCATTTAGATGAAGGTACAGCTTGCTGGTTGTTAAGCACATTGCCTCAATGGTATAACTTTGCAAGGTGTGAGAATTCTCACCTGGTGCGAGGGGGCTCATTTTCCTTGTTACACTTGTCTCAGGTGGCTGTACCAGACGTGGCTGAAGCAGTGAGAGGGACAGACATCTTAGTGTTTGTCCTACCGCATCAGTTCATCGGACGAGTCTGTGAGCAGATGGCAGGTCACATAAAACCTGGAGCATTTGGGATTTCACTCATCAAGGTATGTTGTTGTCTCCATAAGAATCAACCTGTAAGGAGTAAATACGTTCAACTAAAGGATAGGCCCTCAGCTGCATGCTCTGCATAAAGTAAGCATTTCTTTCTTCAACAGTGGAAACTCACAAAGACTCCAGTAGTCCCTCTGCTGTTCATGTGACCAGAGAGTTGAAAGGATTGGGCAACTCCACTGGGCCAAGTAACCATCGTTATCAGTCATCTTTAGCCTGGATTAGTTCCCACTCAGACCAGCACAGAGGTGAAAATACAGAGAGAGGGCTACATGAGCTGGTGCTGCTGCCAGGAAAAATATTCCAACCTCAGCCTCTGTTAACTCTTAACTACATAGAGCACAGGGTCTACGTGCCTGTCCTGAGTGCGTGCAAAACTGTGGAAACACTGCACAGGAATATTAATAACTTTGCAGAATTGGAGCATTTCCCATTTGTAATGAAAAGGGTAATCGCTTTTTAAAGGCTAGAGCTGTCAGATTATCATTACATTAAAGGGAAATTAATATTTTAAGAGAATCTCAAACTAAAAGTTTAAAGCAAAATGTCGCAATATAGTCTGCCACTTCTACTGACTGTGTTAAAATCCAATTTAGAACTGAAATATCAGAAATTTAATTCAAGTTCTCAGACTGTAATGGCAGATCGTTCCTTTTTGATTTTCCCCTATCAAAATTATTTTGCAAGTAGGAACACATAGAGGAGGGGATGGAGAGGAAGGACATTCCTGAAAATGTACTCCTTTCTTCAGCTTCAGAAAAACTATGACAGTTCACTACACTCCTTATAGCAATGAAGCATTAAGGTTAATACTTCAGACCTTGCTAAAGAAGCCACTGCTTGTAAGCTCATTTTAAAAGTATGGCTCTGCACCACAGGAGTTTAACACAAAGGAAGAATGCAGCTCAGAGTAGCAGCACTGCATGTGAGCCCTGTTGCAGGGTTAACTTTATTGCACCTTCTCCCTGAACTTCCCTTGAATTTGTGCTTAGAAATACAAATACAGAGCATTTGGCTCTAATGGCTAATGCTAGCAAATACAAGACCCAAAACCTTCCAAGTACAGCCAGGCAGACCTGCATGCAATTGGACACCTGCTTTAACAGCACTGCTGCTGCTGTCATTTACGTGTACTTAGCTTTTGCTGTTGTCTTTTATTCAGGGGATTGATGAGGGTCCTGAAGGCCTGAAGCTCATATCTGACCTCATTCGAGAGAAGCTGAAAATAGAAATCAGTGTGCTTATGGGGGCTAACATAGCCAAAGAAGTGGCTGATGAGAAGTTCTGTGAAACCACCATTGGTAACTATTGCAAAGGGCAAATTCATCTCCTGTCTGTGGCTTACCCTCACCTATGGCTGGGAAACAGGATGTGTCTGCAAGCAGCAGTGGGAGGCAGCCTGCAATGAGATGTGTTGAGGTTCTGCATGATGCCATATGTGCACTGTGTGCTGAACTCATTCAGGGGGGAGCAGCTCCCTTTCCAGGGAGATTGATGCTGGCAGGATCAGATCCCAACTGACAAGAAGGTCCAGTAGTGAGGGCTGTGAGCTAATTTTATCCAATAAAAAATTACAGCAAAACCCTATTCCTATAGGAGTTACTAAAAGCTACCTGTCTGTAAAGCCCAGTGCTGTGTACTGAGGCAGTCAATACACTGCAGTTTGTCTAGGAAAGTGTAATCAGAAGCTCAAACCCCCTGAGGCGTATTTCTCCATCTTTGTATTTCTCTGTTTAATAAGAGCAACAGTAACATTCTGTTCTTCCCTCCCTAGAACTGGGTCTCACCTGACTACAAGAGTTCACCCAGCAGTTTTAAAACCCATCGATTTTTGAAGTCAGCAGAAATTAGTTTCATTCTTCATTAGCTGGTGGAGATCAAAGGAAAAAAAAATGCAATACTGTTCTTTTGCTGTGCAGAGGTTACAGTAATAGTGAAAACCATACCAACTGGGGATTTGTTGCTGGAAGAGAAACTAGATATGAACAGAATGAGACAGGATCAGAAGATCCTGCCCCCATTTTCTTGGGGCAGTTTAATTTCTGCTTGTCCAGCTTTAAGCCATGACAGGATGACAACTGTGCAGGGAGGCTCACTTGCCCCTTGCTTTTGGGGCCTCAAAGTGTTTTGATTCTCCTTATGGAAAGCCACAAAGCCCATTAGTAAGCAAAGCCAAGAACGCTTATACTGGCTTCCAGCAGCAGGAGTAAGCATCTTCTTCAGCAATGCCCAGTGACTGTGACCACAAAACCCAAAGGTCCCTAGGCCCTTGCTTCAGGTTTCATTTCATTGTGCATACTGCTGTGCCACTGAAACATCACAAATGCTCTAACTTCCATCCTTCCTTCCCACAGGGTGCAAAAATGAGAAACAAGGGCAGATCTTTAAGGAATTACTGCAGACTCCCAACTTCAGGATTACCGTGGTGCCTGACACTGATACAGTGGAGATCTGTGGAGCCTTAAAAGTTAGTGACTTCAAACCAATTTTCTTTTTTTATCAGGACTAAATTCTTACCCCTGCCTGTGCCTCTGTAAGCCGTGTGGTCTAACACTAGTCCACGCTGCCTTATGAATGAGTGGGCATGGACAAAACATGTAACATTTCCTGTGTCAGCTCTCCAATACGAAAAAAAAAGAGAGAAAATTTGCTTAAAGATATAACAGCTGGCAAAGCATTTCAAAATAGCTGGATTTTTGTACTTATTTTTAACAGAGTCACCTCTGTTTCTGAGGGAAGAATTTAGTCCACTATATTTTCTTGTTTATATGTTGTAAGCATGTAGAACAAAGAGTCCTTCTACATACAATAATTCCAACCAATAGCTTACTTCCGTATTTCAAGTCATGACCCACTAGAAAGCAGCATCAGAAGCACCACTCTGAGTTGGAAGCATATCTGGATAGTGTGTAGCCATGCCGACATAGAAATCCCAGGCAGGGTCAGAAGAAACACCACAGTTACCAAGTTTCCATGGCAGGGGCACTTGAGTGAAATTTGGGCTTTGTTTTTAAATGTGCCAAAATTGAACTCAGGCTACAACCACTTGTAGTTTCTGTACAATCAGTTATTTGTATCTGAACAATTCATCTGTCCTTGGAGGAGGGGTTTGCTGACTGGTGAAGACTTGGTTTTGCTTAACCTAGATATGAGTAAGGTATTTACAAACACCCAAAGATTTTGCCTCCAGCTACAGGCTGGAGTTCATTCAGTTGCGAGGGAAATTTCTGCTCCCCTTGAAATCACTGTTTGTTTTAGCAAAGGCAATGCCAAAGCAAAATGAGTGGCATTTCTAGTAACATATAACTCAAATATAACAAACTACGCTTCTGTAGGGGCAGCAAATTAAAAGGTGGGGAGAGGGACATGCAGGACAAGGTGAAGAACTGGGAAGATTTTTAGGATCCAAATACATTTGTTTAGAGCTGTAGGAAAGGCCAGTTCTACTGACCATCTTTGCAGGCAAAACCAAGGTTTGGTCTATTGCAGTGTCAGAATATAGAACCAGTGAACTACAGACTTACAAAGAAGAGCTAGAAGGTATGTCTTCATTCAGGTTATTTTAAACAGTTCAAACAGAAATGAGCCCCAGCTTGGAACTAGCAAGAAAAAAACGTTAATTGCACATTGCTACGTGATTGCAATACTACAATATTAAACAAGCTGCTCTGAAGTTTGCCCACTGGAATAACAGTGGATGCTTTATAAAATCCAACAAAGTCAAGAAGCTTTTGCTTGAAATGTAAAAAGACACCTGCCTTCCTCAGAACAAATTCATAGGCACTGTGTTGTGTTAAAGAACTGTGGAGATGTGACCCCAAGGGCCATGGTTAGTGGGCACGGTGGGGGTGGGTTGATGGTTGGATTGGATGACTTTAATGGTCTTTTCCAACCTTAATGAATCTAGGGCTCTATGAACCTGGGGCCCATCCTGCTGAATCGAGTGAAGACACAGTTGTGGAATTTTCTTAAAGCTTGCTTTATATACCCTAGTGAACTACACATCTTACCTGATGATTTCCTTTTTGTCTGTTCTGCATGAACTCTTTAGAACATTGTAGCAGTAGGAGCCGGCTTCTGCGATGGACTGAGCTTTGGTGATAACACAAAGGCAGCAGTGATACGTTTAGGCCTTATGGAAATGGTGGCCTTTGCCCAGATCTTCTGCAAGGGATCTGTATCAATATCCACTTTCCTGGAAAGCTGTGGGGTTGCTGACCTAATCACTACCTGCTATGGAGGACGCAACAGAAAAGTGGCAGAGGCTTTTGCTCGCACAGGAAAAGTAAGGAGGATTTTGAAATATTCTAAGCTTTAAAAAAAAAAAAAGAAAGAAAGAAATTCTTTGTTTTCACAAAGGCACTGTTAGCTATTTACCTTTTTGGTAACTGTTGATGTTACAGCAGTATTCCCTCTGATCCAAGTAATCTCTCTTCTAGTCCATTGAGGAATTGGAAAAGGAGATGCTGAATGGACAAAAACTACAAGGTCCTCAGACTTCAGCTGAAGTCTACAAGATTCTGAAAGAGAAAAATATGCTTGATAAGTAAGTGTTTTGATTTAAAACAAAACCTGACTCACCGGGTTTGGCCACAAATTATGAACAAATTATGAATTCCTAACCTCCTTCTTGCTATTTGTGGTCAACTGTCCTGTTCATTTCTGTAACAATTGCTTTCTACATCTTGGGCCAGCTTTAAACTCAGCCAAATTCCTCATTGCCATGATCAGTAGAATAGGATGAAGGTAAAACAACATCAAAAGAAACAAGCCACAGACATATAGTCCACCAAAGAAGTCCAAAGGAACTACCCAGATATCACTGGCTCACACCATGCAAGACTGAAATACATACATGGAGTAAGGTTATGAATGTGATCTATAGGTCAAAGGATTTATCATTCTCATTATACCACCATCACAGCTTGCAATACTGCTCCCAGTGCAAACAATCTCAATTTAAACATTCAGGAGTCTGCTCATGAGCAAACTATTTTACACACATTAAATAATGTGTGCTGATATCAATGCCTCAGTGCCACAAAAGAAGCCAATAATTCAGTTAAAGTAATACTTTAATTATTTGGATGGTATTATAGGATTTATAATTTGAAGCCTGTCCTACTTTAGCAGTACATAGATTTATTTAAAAAGGTAAATCTGTTAGAAACTGAACAGATACAGAAATTCTAAGCAGCGCTGCCTTTAAAAAGAAAAGAAAACAATTAAGGCATTTTCTTTTCCAGTCTTTCAGACAGTGGTAATGAACACAAATTATTTATGCATTTTACACAAAGAAGGGAAAAGGGGAAATGCAAAGCAGGGTCTTTTCAGTAAACAAGAGCAGAGGACAGCAACTCTGTGTCTGAAACAACTTATCTTTTGTCACCTCCAAAGCTGTCCTTAAGCTCCCTCGATTGTCCTAACCTCATTCCTACTGGTTTGTCTTTGTGTCGCTCATTTATAATCTTCCAATCGAGGTAAAAATTTTACTGTAGCAAAGTTTCCAGAGAAATAAAACATTTTCAGATACTTTTCTTCTAATGTAACAAACAACAAAAAAAAGCTAGATGCTTTTTCCATTACAAACAAAATGTGTTTGTGTGAACTTTCAAAACTATTTTTCTTTTCCCATGCTTCTGTTAGGTTTCCGTTGTTCACAACCATCTACAAGATCTGCTACGAGGGCGAATCGATCCAGAATTTCATTTCGTGCCTGCAGAACCACCCACAGCACATTTAGGAATTGGCTCTCCCCGCTTGGTTGTGTCCTCATCTTTGCAGGACTTTATCCACTCCACAGCAAATAAAGTAGACAAATAGATTGTGTGGCAACGCTTGCTGTAAGAGCAACACAGAATGTATTTCAGTATCCTCATTCTGGGGGTGAAAAAATCTGCCTTCCAACATTTATATCCACTAAACAGGAAAATGTAAAAATCTGTCTTCACTTTGAGATAGCAATTTGAGCACTTGCCTGCAAATTCATGTTGGTTGAAGACAGCACCCCTCATAATTTTTGTAACAGGAGTTCAATTTAGCTCACGTGGACCTCAGCACTTTGCTTTCTAATATTTGTTACAGAACAGCACAAGATGCAAAAAAGTTGGAGAATGCATCAAAACAGGAATGAGAGTTAAAAGGTCCTACAGCAATAAGATGCAGCCACGTCGGCCAATATGGGATTCATAATTCCCCTCAAACACAAATAGCATAACATTTTGTATTTTGAGATGTTTACTCCTTCCTTGAACATTTCCCATTGTAAGGCACTTTGGAAAAACAGGTATTGCTGCTGTGCTGAGACACACATGAATGTTCAGCAGATGTACAAAGAAAAGAGTTTCAGGGGTGGGGGAGGAAGGAAGGACCTTTTTTATTCAGGACACACGGAACTTCCAATAGTAATCTGATTTTCTTACATCTATTGTATTGTTGAAAAACAGGAGAAGAAAAATGAAAGGGGAATGACCAAAAACATTCATGTGAGTGTTAGCACTTCTGAGCAAGTGTTACCCACCGGCAGTCGGACTGGCCGGGAGGGGAAAGCTGAAGAGACAGCTGGGATACATGCACAGCTCAGCCTGCAGCCTGTGCAGCGCTGTCATTCTGAGGATGGAGAAGCAGCAATGGAACACTCTGCATTCCCTGACTTTGCAGGCATGCACAAAATTGACCGCTACAGACGCACAGAATTCCTTATCCAATTGGATCTGAAACCAGGCTGCATTTCAGCTTCACCAGGGAACCCCCAGGACTGACACAACTGAACTGCATTTGTCTTCCCATGGACTGCACCACAGCAATGCCCTGACCCCACTGCAGAGTGGGCAGCATTCCTGAAGGCAGACAGCTCTCTCTGCTTCTGAGTTTTACACACCAACTGGTTCTCCAACCAGTTTTTAATTTTGTTACCAATGGCATTCATTTTAGAAACATCCAAGTTTTCTAAACTGTATCAGGTAACTTTACCCAGCTGATGTTTTTCAGTTAAAGCCAGCTGTGAAACGAAGAGCATCACATTTTCTAAGCTTTAATACCCTTTTAGGAAGATTCATATTCAGAGAGAACGCAAGCAAAACGGAAGAGTAACCTACTTTTGCTTTGCTTTATCTGATTTTCCAGAATAGCAGAAGGGAACACAAGGGGCTTTTTAATCTGTATTCAAATGACAAATTGGTTTGAAAAATAAGCCAAAAAAAGGCTAGGTTATTAAACCCTCTTCTCTGTCCTATACTTTAGAAGAATATTACTGTCTTTCACGTTTATCAGATTTATATATCATTGTGTATCAAATATAAAAATAACTAATTAAAAAATAATAATTAAAAAGTCTCAGTCTTACAGCTAGGAAAGCTGGCTCAGCTGGTGGGAACGTGGCTGCAGCACCCTGGTCCCTGCTGGGCAGCAGCAAAGGTTGACTGTGTGGAGACAGCAATGGAGCCCATATGAAGTCTCTGAGCTGGAAGAATGGGACTGCAACATCAAGTGAGAAAGAATTAAATACTGTGCAGTCCTTAATGTGTCAAATACATGAGGATGGGATAGAGAATTCAGAAACTTCCTTGTTTCATGGGTGGGCTGAAATTCTCTGTCTCATTCCTGAGCATCAAACATTTAACAGTCAAAGTTTCAAACAATACTTTCTCGAAGTGATCAATAAATGCAAGCTTGGTGTAATTTCATTTAAAAAAACTCGCATAAAATAAATGAATGTTCTGACACAGTCTCTACTGCGCTTATTCTTACAGCTAGCACTGTCAGCTCTCAAAGAAAAGGCCAAGAAGAGTCCATTTTCTACAGACATCTTTATTGATGAACATATTTTTTTCCTTCTTTTGTATGACACTTTTACACAGTAAAATAAGGAGACTTGTACTTCATAAATAACAAAAATTAGCCCTTATATCTCAACCCAGTCAAAATCTATGTAAAATAGTTTGTTCTGTATTTACATTCTGTACCAAAATAAGAAACACATATTCAAGGTCAGCCAGTTCTCCCAAGACAGTTGTTTTATCTCCAAGGGAAGCTTCACATTCTGAAGGCAACATTTACACTTCGGAGGTCTGATGGTGTAAGATGGCATCATTGAATGTAACAACACAGACCCCTGACCCAAAGAGTGACACATGCAGGCATCCAGCCAAGCACTGGGCCAAGCCCAACCAGGCTGCAGGCTCCCACAGTTCAGCTCACAGCCATGCATGGGACATGTGGGGAAGGGAGGCCCTATGCATCCCTCTCTACCGAAACGTATTTGAGCAGGAAGATTTGCACCAGTCTTCCTAATTAAGCAGTGCATAACAAAAAGAATGGGCTATGTTGCACCAACAGTCAACTGGTGAGCATCAAAGTTCTGTTCCAGTTAGTAACCTGCACACAGAACAGCCTCCCAGAACTTCAAGACGTTTCAAGGGAAAGGAGCAGCCTGTTTCTCTATGTCATTTAACTTGGTGCATACTCCAGCCAAAAGCTCTCCTTCCTTCTTCTAACTGAAACATGAGGAAAATGAGTTCCTACAGCATGACTTGCCTCGACTTCTAATTGATATATATAATTTAAATATATATATATATTTGAACTACTGGGATAACTAAAGATGACCAGTTTACTTCCACAAGGAAACATGGAACATGCTTTTTTAATATTAAAACTGTGTATGTTACATACTGGAAATGCAGAGAAGTCGATCCATTTATTTCCTAGGGCAGGAAGAGCCCAGGGAATAACGCTAACCACCCTGGTGAAAACAAGGCTTGTTTGGGCCATACCTCAAAGTTTTCACATATAAGAGCTGCAGTGTGATGGACTGGCCATGACATGCTCAGGAAACCCACAGCAGCCACCTGCAAACTCTGTATTTGTTTCAAGCCAATACAAACTCCTACTGGGGAAACCATACTTAAGGCTACACAAATGATTGTTTTAAGCTACAGTTTTAGCTTTGTTCTACACTAAGAAATGGCTTACGCTTCCTACTATGTTTATGTTGCTCTTAAAGACCTGAGGCGTGTTTTTACTTAATTCACCTTAAGCCGCTCAAGTTAACAACAGGCTAAAAGCTGAACTCAACGCCACACAGAACTGAGGTAGGCAGTTTTACTCAGATATTCCTTTTGACAGGCCATCAATTCACTGCCACTTTAAAGCGAACCTGACACATCCTCTGGCAGCTCCAGCAAGGGTGCAGCCACCAGCTCACCGACAGAACTGGCTGGATTCTGCCCGCTTCAATCCGCTCTCCCAACAAGTCGCTTCCAATTCTGTGGTTCACGGCCAACTTAGGGGCTGCACGTCAAAGAAATTACAACTGAAAGCTCAGATTATTAAGGCGTTAATAGTTTTACTTCACTGGATTCACTGATGCAGCTACTCAGCAGGTAGGGCCGAACCTGACTGCTAGCACTCTGACAGGCAGACAGATGTTCCCTGTAGGTACAACACACTGCAGCCTTTCTTTATCCAAATCCAGAAGCAGGGAAGCATCAACATTTTAAGCCATCTTTCAGTTTTCAGTTAGTGCTCAGAAAAGCCCTTGAGATAAACAACTGGGTAGAAGATAAAAAAAATATTCACTTAAATATAACAAACTCCACTTACACATAGAGACCAGCATATCAAATACCAAGTGCAATAAATTAACACCATTAGAAATGTTTAACAGTTATAAAGTTAACCAGAGAGTTCCAACAGTGCAAATATTTCACAGTAAGAAAAAATAACCAATAATTTCTTTTCAAGTATAAAAAGCATTGCTGTTGAGTGATGCCATTTCAACTGTATTATTGCACAACAGACAAAAGACATAATACCAACCTCTGGGGCCAAAGATATATTCTCAAACCTTTGCATTTTGAAGGAATTCAGTTACACTGACTGCTGATTGTGCACACCTTAAAAAGTTAGCAGTGTTTGCTTATCAATTTGAGTGTTTCTTGATTCAAACTTGTACACAGTTAAAGCATTTGATCCCTAATTTGTATTGCTTCTCAGAAACACGAATTAAGGCTAACCAGGCCTTGTTTAGCTCAAAGCAAACTATGCATAACTTGCAGATCAGAAGGGAACGAGCCCAGTGCAATGTAATCTTTTAGCAACATGCCCTCAGACAGTTTTAGGTAACAGTTTACTCACCTCACCAGTGTCATAAAGTGTCATAAATTGTCTATATACTAGGCACAAAGATAATCTTTAGTGTCCTTACAAGTACAATGGAAGTCCTATTATTAAACATTAATCGTAACTAAAGAAGTTACTCTTTCCATCCCTCTACCTTTCATTTCAGAAGTATGCCTCTAATAGGCACTATTAGTAACACATTACGTAGGGTCAGGAACAAAAAAACCTCATCTTCATAAGTGTCAGATAGAGCGGCTGTCCTCAGTGAGACACACTTGGCTCATTTCCTTTCTCAAGCAGATTTTGTCCCCCAAGAGACGAATTTTGTACCAAGGCATGCCCGTGCATATCTCAAAGTGTCTGATTCTCTAACGTAATCCAAATGCCAATTATTTGGGTAGCTGAACCATCAACTACTGGTTCAAGAAAGAGGGGTGGAAGAAGACAGATTAGACTTTTCTTTACCTACTCAATTCAGTTTTGGCCGAGAGAAGTCAATATGATTCTGTAAGATGATAGCTGCCATAGCTACTGGCTACAATAAAAAGTGAGCACAACTGTATTAATGCTCATACTAATAAAAAACAATGCCATGATTTAAGAAAAAAAAAATCAGAAAACCCTGCCCAATTTTACAGACTAGTATCAGTACTGAAATGTGTTTGTCTAGCAAACCACTCTGAGAATATTCAAATATTTCACATGCTAAACAAAGATGTGACTTCTAGACAGTTGTCATGGCCATCACTCTGAAATTCCACCCTGTGCACATATGAAGGTTTAAGTGAACCCCAAGAGATGCTTTACTGCAAAATTATACGAATTCTGAGAAGCCTCAAAGCTGCAGAATTCAGTTGTGGAAACAATTCCCAACACCTGGTCCATTCAATTCCATTATTTTTCCCTGTAAAATGTAAGAACTGACAGAAACCTCCCATACCTGTTTAGGTCTGAGTTATTAGCAGTGACGATAACTGATTTTCACATGGCTTTCAACTAAACCACTGAGGTATATTTCCAGTTTGAGGCTGCTTTGCTACCAGTCACACTGAAGAAAAAAAGAAAAAAAAAAAAAACCAAACCAAACAAACCACAATCCCAAATTCTACTACAGCAGTTCTCCTTTCAAATCTTGACCAAGCTGCCAAGAAGGCTGGCACAGCAATCTTGTTACTGTGTCAAAATCAAGGGTTGCAATTCAGGAAAATACTGGCACTTATTGAGATGACATGGAACATTTTCCACCTCTCTCAGGCTCTGGTTGCTGTCGTTAGCACCTCCCTGACTACTGCCAGCATCACTACTTGCCAGGAGAGATGAGGCTCAGAAGAAGGCAGCTGCCTGCAGAGACAAAACAACTCGGTGTTCCACAATAAGAGGTGCAACACTGCAGTGCATCATCTTGGAACATCTTCTTGCTCCCCGCTTGAGCTATGCGCAGAGGAATAATCCTGTTACCAGGGGAATCAAGTTAGCCATCAACAGCCAGAGGGTTATGACTAGGCTAGATGAAGAGGAGCACAAGTCTGAAATAAAGAACAAAACAGCATAAAGTTTCTATGTTGTATCTAAAACGAGGATAAAATAACCAGAGAGCAAAAATGTATCTGTAGTCTTTGCACCTATTGGCACGATTTATTTTTAGCTTTCAAGGCTAGCAATTCAAAGCAACTAAATGACATTACTATCCCCATTATAGGTGACCCAAACAAGTTTATTTTTTCCTTAAATACTGCAATAGAAACAATACATCCAACAATTAAAGAATTGACTAAAGACTTAAAAATAAGCCACAAATGAGAAATACCGTAAAGAATGTTCTCCTTCACTGGTCAGCATTTGAAAGAATCTACTCTTGACAAAATATTGTTGGTGAATTAAGCTTTCTTCTTCCTTCAGAAAGCAAAGTAACACCTGCCATTTGTGTTCTGGACTACTGCATTAGTACTGTCAACAGGAAAACATATGAGTACTCCTTTTGCACTAAGGTGATTTTGAAGGTCTTGCTATGTTCCCCAGAACAGATACCTGATTTTCTAAAGCTAGGTTTCTGGGATGATTACCAGAAGGAGACATGACAAAGAGTTTATGTTTTAGATGTATTTCTTCTGTATAAGCCACTAGAAACTAACGTATGACTGCCCAGCATCCTGCCACCTTCCTTTAGCATCTTAGATCCTGGAATAGTAAGACCATGGCTCTCTTCCCATTACCAATATGAATCATCAGTGCTTTCGGATGTTTTAGATCAAGCTTCACTTCAGCACACCATAAGACAACCTACCAATTGCTGCAGCTCTTGACAAGTTCAAAGCTGGAGGATCCCGCTCTGGGGGACAGGAGTCACAGAAGTCCCAGCAGGCAGGGCAGATCAGATTCCCAACATGCACCCAGCCATTCATCTGAATGCTCACAGTTAACACTTGACCCGAGCGGCTGCACAAGTATGAAGTGTCCTTCACCCAAACATGCAGCCCTTGTGGAGAACAAGAAACCTTAAAATAAAGGAATAAAAGTGAGGTCTGTATTACGATTTACTGGAAATACATTTTTGCGTGTGGGAGCTCTTTTAACAGGGAAATAAGATGTTTAGTCAGCAATCTGTATACAACACAGGTTACCTGCAAGTACTTTAATGCACTCACAGCAACTATTTAAAAAAATGCACTGACTGCACTCTTTCATGCAATTACACAGATAACCAACCGAGACTGAGTAAAATTCTGCTTCTGCTAAAACCTGCATTTTAGAGTTGTGCTGTCATTGAAAGAGACACCTCCAGTTGAGACAGTGAGTGGTAAAAGGATAATGAGAAGTGGCACATGCACAGTGCTTCCTACCACAGACAAATCAAAGTGATTTAACTCATGTCAAACTTTGACAACAGATGATTTCAGTGTAAGTATTCTCACTTAGCTGAGGAAAAAGCATCACAGAGATAAGACAGATGAAGTCCTTAGCAAGACTAGAGGTAGCACACAGGTCTGCCCAGTGGCCACACGCTTGACTTGATGTGCCATCTAAACTACAGGCTTATGTTAGAAAATCCTTCTTTTCAATGCATGTCCTATTTAGCTATTTACAGGAAGAGATGATTCTGAACCGTGAGCAGGTACCCCAACCCACACTGTATGTCAGACTTTTCCCCTTCATGTTATTTAAAAAAAAACAAAAACAAAAATGAAAAAACAACAAAGCAAGAAACAAAGCCATGCAACATACACACTTACTTGATAACATCCGCTACCCCAGTCAGGGTAACTGAGCTTCCTCCTGCACTGTTCCATGACAAAAGCTGATTTCTGAATCAGACATACAGAGTTTGGTCCATATTCTTCTGCACCATAGTTTTTGGTAGGATCTGAAGTGGAGAGAATATATTGAACTGCAATTTACTATATGAAAAGGAAATCGATGTCAAATAAGCCTGCCATAATTAATGTCACTATAGTTAATTCCCAGTTTCCTTCTAGGATCTTTTAGACCATTAACCATTACTCAATCTGGGAATCATATTGTCTTGAATATGCAGTGTGAATAAAACAAAGGCACTTTCCATAGAAGCACATGAATATGTTTGCCCCAGGGAGAGCCAGTTGTAACTGTTGGCTTGAGGAGGGGGAGTGTTATTCATTTTGTTTTGAGAGAACTGCAGAGATGAGTAATAAATATCCTACAGGATTCTGCAGCTCTGCAATATTCAGAGTTCAGGGACTACTCTGGGAGATAGACCCATGCTCTGGCAGTCTGCCAGTCTCCTTGCTTTGACAAAAGACTACAAAGGTGGAAAGTATAATTTTTTTCAGATACTCAAAAGCAATCAATCAACCCTCCACCCACAACCTTTGTCTTACATGTGGATCATTTGGGGATAATTTCTTTCAACCCTTATGCAATTTCTGTATTTCATGTATACCTGGGAAGAAAACACCAAGTAACTGTGCTTCTCACTCCAGCACACAGGGCAGCGTTGACACTAATTTCACATCCAATGAGTTTGGATTACAGCAAGACCTTTCCAGATAAACATACACAGACTCTTAAACACCACATTAAAGCCCTGAAAACTAACCTGGTTGATTTTCAATTATTCTGCAGTCTGAGCTGCGTTGAAATTCACCACTTAAATGCCAACTGAATTCTTGACTGAAGGGACAATAGTCAGCAATTTCTACTGAGCCACCATAGTAAGGCAAGTCTTCTGCTGGTACTCCACTGAGATTGTCAAAATACTGCCAAACAAAAGAGGTAGTTAAGCAGTTTGTACAAAGACAAGCCTACAGCTGGCTTGTTTGTTTGTTTTTAAATAGAACAAATCACTACAGCTGTAAGAACATCAATTACTTCTCAGGAATGCTATTAACAGACACTTATAATACCCCTGAGCCAGATGAGCCCGAAGTACTTAAGAATACATAAACAACGCACTGGGATCCACATGTCCCTGCATTGCCCCTTGTCCCTTTCTGCAATTATAACCGGGATGAAACAACAAATTCCTTAATATGAAGCAACATAAGGCAGCAGATGAGGTGAAGAAAAGCTTCTGTTACACACTAACGTTATCATCTGAGATTTGCTTAAACAGATGAGCAACATCCTTACCATCTCCTGAAGGTCACAAGGCCTTATTTCAGGCCTTTATACTTCTTATAAGAAACGAAGCAGAAATTTTTCACAATATCTACTCTCATCTACCAGTTCAGGAAAAAAAAAAACAACAAAAAAACCCATGCACCTGACTGCATAACACAGTAATACAAATGTTTAGTTATTTGATAAACTAAGATCCACGATACCTGATATTCCTGAGGTAACTGCTTTGGAAACTTCTGTAAGTTGCACACTGCTACTGCTCTTTGGTCCTGTCTGCAGGTTAACTGCAAAGGGTTACTCCTCAAAGTGTCACAGTATGGACTGATGAGTTGCCTCCTCACAGAAAAATAATTATAATAACCCAATCAGATTAACTGCTTTCTGTAATATAACTGCACAGTTTGTCAGTTGTCTGTTCCTGCTCTCCTTCACACCTGTTCACTCACAAAGAAGCAGAGGTATCTTGTCTGTTATGAGCTGGTAATACTATTTGTCTGGTTATGAACTTCCTAATTTCAAGAACATCAAGTCTGCAAACAAAGTCACAGTGCACTCAGTTTCAATGACACTGCTCTGTAAACCTTGAAGTAAAATGTTTACAAACCAAACAAGGCCACCAGGGAGCAAATTTGTAAGTACTGTAACAAACAAAGAAGGCTTTGCTTTGACATAGGTAACACACGTTTTTGGTGCTTTAAGTAAATTCCAGCAACGCAAAACACTGCTAGCTGCATTTGCAATTTAAGATGACAAAGCTACAAGAGTTGCTTAAGTCCCTCTAAACAAAGCACAGTTCTCTTACAGTAAGAGTAAACACATTCTACATCCTAAGATGTCTGGTTCTATATTTGTTGGGTAAAGTACAAGTGGTCTTAATACATTTCACGTGCTCTTTCTTGAGTGCTTTCTGAAGATACTTCAAAGAACATTCCTTGCATATTACTTCTTGCTGAGTTTCATTTGAAGAGGGCAAATGAGCATCTGCTTACTACTACTCTTTTTTTTTTTTTTGGAAAGACTTACTTCTGTTTCTTTCGATCAATCCAGAACTTACAGCTCTTCATTACAAAGTCACAGCCTTTATTACGGCCCCAATCTAATTTCTCTGCCATGCTGTAATTTGCTTTATACCACCTGCAAAGGTATTTTGAAATGAAAATACAGTTATTTGAAAACTAGCATCAAGTAAACGAAACAACAAACATATTTGAAGAAGAAAAAATCCATTATCGCTCATATTAACACTTACCCTGTGTCTTCCATTAATGCTAAGGTGATCCTGGAAAACACTCGGTTCTGTGTATGGGATCCAGTCATAGCTTCATTCTGAAAGTCACCAGATACTATTAGTAAGCTCCTGACAAAACGTTAATTAAGAAAATGGCTTACTATGAAAAAGCATTTTATGTTGCAGCCATGCATTGAGGGCCATTGGAAGTTCCAGTCTCTTCTTATTATAGACAATCCAGCTCTTCAGATTATCCTCATTTAGCTGCTTTTGGTCTCAAAAATGCATGTTTTTTCAAGTTTACTTCCATGAAAAGGTCTGTCCTAAAGCATTTACAATATTGTTCACTAATACCACATAACTCAGTGTCATAAATAAAACAAGCTTAAGTGTCAGGAGGGAAGCACTTCCTTGGTCAGATGAGGTTCTGGAATAAAGATGGGAAAAGCTTCCCCTAATGAGCCACACAAGTAAAGACAAAATCCAGACAGTGACAGACTGAATGATCAAAGATAATGAATTGGATGACACAATTGAATTGAGTCAAAGGAATAGCCCCTTTCCCCTAAAAATGAGGCCTTCTCAAAAGGGCAAGCAGCAGATAAATGAGACATTTCATTTTTCAGTAGTTATCTCAAACTCATATTCTGAGATTTAGTAATGAGATAAAAATAGATTCATCTAAAAATGGGATGCTTGTTTCTAGCTAAGCAATGTTTTTGCTATATTTCAGTGAGCTCTGACACAGTCATGTTTTTGAGGCTCCAGTAAGTATCACTATAAATCCAAAAATAAAAGAAGGGGGAGCAGGCTTTTCTATTCCTAATATTAGCACCAACCTCCAACAACCTCTTCTCCCAGTGGTTGAGCTCAGTGCCCATGCCACCCTGATTTTCAAGCTCCATTCCCTCTAAGATTGGACAATCAAAATGTTTCCGAGCTTCTTCCTAGAAAGAAAACATTTCAACACAACTCTCAAAATACAGAGAAGCAGTCATATGCATTCCTCATCTTCTAGAATTATCTTAAGAAACTATTTCAGCATTTTCCTTTCAACTATCTTGTTTCCCTTCTAATATAGAATACTTCTCTTACTGAAATGCTTATTAAGCCAACTGGCACCCCAACACCAAGCCTAGCAATTTGCCTACTTATCTTCCAGAAGAAACAAGCCATCAAAACCTGGAAGAATGAAACAACAGTATTAAGTAAAAATACTGTGTGAATGAGAAAGACTAAGTTAAAAAAAAGAGTTGTTATTTTTAACACCACCACCATAACCTGTTTCTGAGGAACACCATGGGGAGGGGATGCAAATGAAGTTTTCTTTTAAGAAGCAGTGTATGTCAACTAGTTTTGTGTAAAGAAGTACGTTTTCCAGAACGTCTGGAAACCTTGAAAGGCATCACAAAGACAAAGGCTGGCCTTTGCCAGTGTGACAGTACTCATAGGCACTGCTATGCTCTGAGCAGTTTGGCCAGCATGGCCAGTTTCCAATACATTGCATTAGATTTAAAACAAAGTGGATTTCTGGCCAAATATGAATAGCAAAAGTAGAAAATATTCATGACACTAAAATGTGATAGTAACCTTCACATGCAAAGTGTAACTTAATACTTACAACAACACGAGGTGTTGTCAGAAGATAAACAGCATGGCGCAGCATTTTGCCACCACGAACGTCCCATAACCTCACTGCTTTCTGAACAACCTTATCACTCCACTGATACAAACCTAGGCTGTAAGAAGAATTTGTTAGTTACAGATCTTTACCATAAATACATGCAACTATGCAAAGTTTCATTTCCATTAAAAAACAAATTGAAGAAAAATCTCTATTTCTCATTCTTTGTGAAGTTTTCATTGACTTTGTAACACTTCTCCTTTGTAAGGTACATGTTTATTACATGCACTACCAAGAAAGATGACTAACTACTAATACTACTTATGCCTTTAGAGTCAAGACATATTTCCTACAGTTATCAAAAGTGTACTGCAAATTGTTTATTCAACAACAACATCATCACACATTAGCCTACAAGCACTGTAATTTCTGCTGAACTACAGACAATGAAGAATACGCCTTAAAAGAGTGACTAGCATTGAAATCAATGCACCAACACTGAACAGACTACAGAAAAATGCAAGACCCGATCTGGTAAAGTGTTCAGAAAACATGAGTAGTTCTAATGTTTAGCTACAAGCCTTCTGATAAATAAAAGCCTGCCTCGTTATCATCCCTATGCATTACAAGGTGAGTGTTTAATGAAAATGTAAAGATTGACTAATATATATATATTTTTAAGTATGAACATAATAAACACAAAGTTATTAAGTTGGCTTTTCAACAGGCTGACAGCAAGAATGTATCAGACAACCTTAAGACATCCTTCAGTGTACTGAGAGGTCCAAAAGCGATCAATACCTTTCATTAAAAGGAGGGAGTCCATCTGCATATCTCGCTGTCAAAGGTTTTCCATCATCATCACGATAAAATGCAAACAGTCCAGCAGAGAAACCCTGCAAGGAAAGCAAGTAGGAACCTTCAGTAAGACATTCACACACCAAGTCAAGTGCCATTGAAGTGTGCACATCTGCAGCAGGCACACTTGAAGTGCTGCACCTCAAAGCAATTAATGAATGAGTTGAAATAGGCAAAGCCAGAGCTTTACCCTCACCAGACATCCTTCTCTTCCAAGAAGAAGTAGGCACAAGTTGCAGGAAAATGCATTTTATAATATCAGCCCTTACCAGTGCATGGATAATCTCGTGTTTCACTGTAGACAACATGCCAATAAATTCCTGAGGTTGTGTTGAGATCATGTTTGGACACAAGTTAGCATATCCTGCTATTGGCCTGCAAGACAGTTTTATAATTGTTTTCAGGAAAAGAGCAGCAAATTCTTTTACCACAACAGAAGCAGGATCACAAGATAAAGTTCAGGCAGTAACAGCAGAGGATTACCTTTGATTTAAATACCTCAGCTTTGCAAGTTAAGCTTTATTCAATCATTGCTGACTTTACATGGATATAGTATTAGTCTTTATTTCAATGACTTCTACTTTGTTATCCTATACACGACACAAGTAGACAAACTCCATACATAAGCTCCAAGTTTAATTTTTAAAAAAGTTTGTAGCAGAGAGAACACTTGCCTGTCCATTTCAGCTTCCAGTTGGCAGTAGGCTGCATATGCAATGATGTTTTCATGGCCACACCTTTCAGTGGTGAGAGCACTGACATAAAGGACAAAGTCAGCATCTCGAACCCCTTCCTGGTCAGGTACGTCGGAGAGCTGCTCATTCTGATTGTACACCCTGCATTGCTTTGACAATGTTCAGATGGAACCATTAAAATACATCAGCTATGACAGAAATTTTGTATTAACAAACTACAGCTAGCTTGAAGCCAAGAATAAGCCCCATCCTAGGACAGATGAAGATGAGAAAACTCCCTGCAACAACACTAAATAAAACCAGAGCCAGGGAAGAACTTACAAATGACTAGCTCTTGTGACTGAGAAGAGGGGCTTGCCAAGCCAGATGTCCCCAAATTAGCACATTTTGTTTCCCATAACAATTAGAAAGTTCTGGCTCACAAACAGCATACATAAGCAGCCATTGCTGTACAGTCACTTATACTCAGCATTACCTGTGAAGGGTCACCTAAGCACAGCAAGCAACATTCATGTTTTCAGTAGTTTCCACAACCAATAGTACTTCAAAAGCTAAGAAGCACTGAGGTAGCTCAGAGTACCTGGAGGTGTTTTTCTGGAACAATAACTGGCCCACATCGTGTATGGTTGGCACAGGCCCCTCGGCAGTACCTGTGAGGGTCAGCTTTCCTCCTCAAATACTGGTTTGTTGCACACTGCCTTCAATCAAACATCAAAGACAGACAGCACCATTTTAGAGTTTAAAAGGAAGCATAGCACAGTCTTACAGCATCCAATGACACTATAATACAAATATTTAACAATGCAGTATTGTAACTTTCAAGCTGAAAAACATTAGTGATGCTTTCTGGAAGATACAATGCCTCCAGTTTTTAATACAGTATTCTACAGGTTCAAGGAAAGATTAGGAATGGGTTCATAAATGGGGTAGACTAAAAAGGAAACAAGCAGCACGTATTCTCTTTATCATCTCCAAATACAGGTGCTGATCATGGAAGGTTTGTACATTTTCCTCAGGTAGCAACACCCACTGCGACTGAGCCTCAGGGACCACTGGTCTGAGCCAGGGCATTTCTTGTGCTCTTACTATATATATATATTTAAAGTCCATATGTAATGTTAAATACGAATTAAAATACTAGACTTTCAACAAACGTTCACATACCTGCTTAGCAAGATGGTACCTGTGGATTTGCGCACTTGAAAAGTCTTCTCCAAGTAAGAGATAGCTTGTGGGAAAAGTTTGTTCTAAATAGAACAAAACCAGAAGTCACCCAGTAGCAGTGCAGACAGAACTTGCAAGCTCTAACAACCAAGGTACGTGAAACATCTAGGTGCTGTGGCCTAGAACAGCGGAGATGCAGACTTCCTAACATCTTCCTATGCAGTTCAGTGGTTATAAAATCACAGAATTGTTCAAGTTGGAAGGGACATTTAAAGGTCACCTGGTCCTACTCCCCTGCAGTGACAGAGACACCTACAGCTCCATCAGGTGCTCTGAGTTCAGCCTGACCTTGAATGCCTCTGAGAAATGGGAGATCCACTGCTTCCTGAGGCAACCCATTTCAGTGCTTCACTACTGTTACTGCAAGAAATGTTACCCTTATACTCAGTCTCAATCTCTTCTCTTTTAGTTTGAAACCATTTCCCTTTTCCTGTCACAACAGACCTGCTAAGAATCCTGTCCCCTTCTTTCTTACAGCCCTCCATTAGACACTGAAAGGTCGCTCTCAGGGCTCCCCGGAGCCTCCTCTTCTCCAGTGAGCAGTTTATAAAAAGGAGAGAGGAGAAGAAAGACAGAAAGAAAGACAGAAAGAAAGAAAGAAAGACAGAAAGAAAGAAAGAAAGACAGAAAGAAAGAAAGACAGAAAGAAAGAAAGAAAGACAGAAAGACAGAAAGAAAGACAGAAAGAAAGACAGAAAGACAGAAAGAAAGAAAGAAAGAAAGACAGAAAGAAAGACAGAAAGAAAGAAAGAAAGACAGAAAGAAAGACAGAAAGACAGAAAGAAAGAAAGACAGAAAGACAGAAAGACAGAAAGACAGAAAGAAAGACAGAAAGAAAGACAGAAAGAAAGACAGAAAGAAAGACAGAAAGAAAGAAAGAAAGAAAGAAAGAAAGAAAGAAAGAAAGAAAGAAAGAAAGAAAAAAGAAACGCCACATACCTTTATAAGGTGTCTTTTCTCCGGCAGCAAACTATATTTAAAAAAAAACACAAAATAACAGTTTTTGCCGATAGGATTTCCCCTCACAGACACGCGGACAAACCGCAGCACAACGCTACACTCACCCCTCAACGCTCCTGTCGTATATAATCTTAACCCTCAGATGCTGATCCACGCTTCTCTTCAGGACGTGGCTCTCCCTCACAGGAACCCGGTAGACCACCTGCCCGGAGAGGAGCACAGCGCTGCGGCCCCGCTCCCTCCGAGCCGAGCCCCAACAACCGACCCTCGCACCGACCTCCCCGCCCCGCACCGCGCGAGGAGCCCCGCGGCCGCACCTCCCCGCGACCGGGCACGCGGTGCTGACAGGACGAAGAGGAGAAGGAGGGGGAAAGGCCGGCGGCGCGGCCGCAGCACAGCAGCAGGGCGGCGGTGAGCGCGGCGAGCAGCAGCCGAGGAGCGGCACCGCGGCGCCCGCCGCCCGGCTCGGCGGCCATCTTGGGCTGCCCATCTACCGCGTCGCCATGGAGGTGCTCCCAGCCAATGAGCGGGCGGAGATAACGGGCGAGGGCGGGGCGGAGGCGGCAGACAATTCTGATTGGGTGAGGCTCTCCCAATGGGGGAGGGAGGGAAGGGCAAGGTGACGGCGAACTGTGCTATGCAATGCAAGCCGTGCAGTGCAATGCAATACAGTGCAGTGCAATGCAATGCAGCGTGGTAAGGGGACGGCCGATCTGGGAAGCGCAGTGCGGTGAGGAGCAATGCAGGGCATATCTAAGCAGCAGTTGTGCAGAGAAACTCAGCGTGCAAAGCAACGCAGCACGGGGCAGCGCACCGTGCTGGGCAGCACTGCAGAGCAATGCAGGGCCATGCAGTTCTGCATGCTGCAACGCAGGGCTGTGTACCCCATGCTGGGTGCAGCATGGCATAACGCAGTGCTGTGAGATGGAGTACAATCAAAATGGGTCCACGCAGTACGGGGCTGTTCAGCAAGCTTCCGCAGGAGGCTCAGTACACGGGGTTTGCTGTTTCAAGCTCACAGTGCAGTGACGCAGCTCCCAGCCCCCCCGCTGCCCCTAGGAGGTACCTAATGTCAGTTAAGGCTTTCCAGCTTCTTTCTCTGTATAGCATCGCTGTACCATAAACGTATTCTGATGTAAAGCAACACTTCTAATTGAAGTGCACTCCTTGGTGTAAACAATGACTCAGCAATACCACGTAATCTACTTGTAACTACTTTTAATAAAACAAAACACACAGAGGGCTTTTAATTGACAGTTGCAAGATGATCACTCTAAGTACATAATCTGCATACATTCAAGGGTATGTATATCATTATTTATTTGCTTTACAGAACATTAAGCACTTTCAAATATGTCCCTATGAGTCCTTAGAATGTGTGTCCATACTTATTGAAAGCGTGCCTAGACAGAGTTATCTATAAAGTGGTGCTTGTAGAGAAAGGTTATGATTCCATTTCATCCAGCAGAAGTTTATCACTCTTTACTATCCTAAGAACTCCAGAAGCAATAGCTTTGTACGTGAAAGCTAGGTGTACATAATGATAGAATCACATAAGCATTAAGGTTGGAAAATACCTCTAAGATCATCTAGTCCAATCATCAACTCAACCCCACCGTGCCCTTCAGTGCCACATCTGCCCTTTTCTTGAAAACCTCATATGGAAAACTCAAGTCAGAGTGTGCACAGATGGCAACAGGTATGGCACAGCAGCTCCCCTTCCTACCAGTTCCCATCTGCCTTGCTTGGGAAGAAGTCTAGCTGTTCTCAAGCTCTTGCCTGCACCTCTGCAAAACTGAATTTGATATGTGAGTGTTAACATAATGCATTCTAAAATAATTGCTTATCCTGGCGTTGGTAACTATGAAGACTTACTTAAGCACCTGGATAGATTTAAAAAAGCTCTTTAGAGACCGAAGTGTAAACAGCAATCAAGAAATGCCTGTTACATTTTACATAGAAAAGGCACCAGCATTTTTTAGACTTTGAAGAGTATTCTATTGTCTGAAAGTAATAAGATATTCTGGATATGCCTGAATGTCATTAAATATGACAAACATCTTTGGAGCATTCACATCATCGACTACGCTGTCGTACAGGTCGGTAGGATCTGCTGAGTGTTTTGGAGGTGGAGTGACCAGCCCTCTGCGCCCAACACAAAACTCCCCTGTGAGGACCCGAGCCAGGTACATGTATTTTCTGCCGCTCGTATCTGGTTTTGAGTAAGTATCCTGAGCAGAGTAAATTGCATTAACAGCAAAGTAGGTTCCATTTCCAATGCTTGCAGCTGTTTGGAAAGATGTTTTCACATACAGTTAGTATTCTTATTCCCAAATAATCTCTTAAACTCCTTTTTTTTTTTTTTTATTCTACAGAAATCATAAATTAGTTGTAGTTTATCAGCACAGCCTGAGCAATAATCTTTTTTTTTTTTTTTAAATCAGAATCCAGTATGAATCCCCATAGACCAGGCTGAAGTGTCAACCAGATCTGAGTCAGCATGCCCAAGCCTCTCAAGATCAAGTCAGCCCTATAGATCTGCTGGCACTGTGTACACCTTCAGGAAATTAACTGCTTTGGAAAATGGCTCACCATTAATTCCAGCAAAGCCACGATTAAATCCATTGTAGTTGATTGTGCTCAATGAGATTTTAGCTGTCCCGTGAAACAACAGCTTCTCATTATCTTGATTTTTGTTCTTCATACGCAGAGACTTCTTTTTGATTTGGTAGGTCTGCCAGAGGAAGGGATTTTGTATTCTTTGAATCTGCAAAGTCACAAAATGTAGGAACCAGTATTGATCATGACCACAAAGCATCAAAAACAAACCAAACTGAAAGAATGACAGTAATTATCACTATACCCTGTTAGTGTGTGTTTAGTGAGCCTCCTGAAAATCAGAAACTAAGGTAACTTCCAAATGGTTTTTTGAGCTTGGTAATTTTTGGTACACATTTGTCTTGCCTTGCATACTGTGTACAAGGCAACTATAGTAGCACTGGTATTTTCAGAAATAGGATGTTCTACCACTGCTAGTGGAAAGGAAGCATTGATGTGAGATGCATTCCACACATCCTAGTAATCTTTACTGATGATTTTTCCCATTGAAAGGCTAGGCTGTAGCAAAAGCATTACAGTGAATTTATCTTCGAGACCTCAGCAAAGAAGTCAAAATTACTTCCTTTCCTTTGTAGCCATGAGAAAATCCTATTTAAAAATAAATTGGCAGGAGGACGGATGTAGCTTTTTTTTTTTTTAATACTGTACACTAATATCTTGCTCTATTCCTATCTTCTTGATCACGGTAATTGGAGAAATTTTTTCAAACAAGCGTTCTCATTCTTCATATCATTTTATTTTCTCATAGAATTCTATCTTCTCCCTGGCAATTAAATCTCTGTCCATTGTTTTGTGGACTTTTCAATAAAAGAGGAACAAATCATGACACTTTGGTAAAATCAGCACTGTAGCCTGGAAGGCTCAGTCTGGCACCAACAGGGGAATCCATTCCTCTAGTAGTAAAACAGTAAAAAGCTTTACAGCCAGTCTGCAAAGACAAGGCTGCAGAGAGTTAACTGTGCAGCTGGCTCTTTCAGTAGAGTCTCTGCGTCTCCAAATGTTTCTCCCAACGACAGCTTGCCACCCTACAGTCTGATGGGCAGGTCTGCTGCATTTGGTGGCTAAATCTTGTCAACTTTGACAATGAAATGAACAGCAGAAGAGGAAGCAGAGTTTAATCCAATGCATAGCTGAAAGGCCGTAATCTTTCATCTCTTAAATCATATTTCTTATATGAAATAAGATGTTTTCCTTTTAATTTTGAATCACATGCCCAATTTTAACATACAATTCCCTAATGTATCATGTTAACTATTCAATATCACATTAGTTAAACAGAGTTATAGCCTGAATACTTACAGTCACTCATTTTGCGTTACTAGGAAAGCAGAAATGCCAGTGCAACTGTCAGGAATTTTTGGAGAGCCTGATGCAGAAGGTGTATTAGGTTACAGAAATGTGACAAACAAATACTTAGGAAGTATATTAATGCTTTCAGCCAAAGAATTCATTTTTTTCCCCCATAGGATGTCACCTTCTCTATGACAAAGCTGTGAGCAGTTTTCTGAAATCTCTTCTGAACTTCAAGATATTCCTGACACAACTGTGTGAGGGTCACCAGCTTGACTCGCTCCCCTTGCATGTCTTCCCAGTTTGCAGGGAACTCTATTGCCTGCATATCTGCAAAACAGGAATTGTTTTAGCATCATTCGTATCTAGCTCATTTTTGTAGGTTGACTGCAAACAGGGGGCTAAGAGCACAGTAAATGTTATGAAATACTCAATTCCAAACATGTTTCTTTGTCAAATTTATGTATGAAACCTTTGCTTACTAGTTACATAACTTTTGTATTTACAATAGAAGTTGTGATTTTGGTCATACCTACTCTACTACTAATTACAAATTTAGAATTGCTGGCTGCAGCATGCCTGGCTGAATAAGTAAGTAAATAAGTAAATAGCTAGGGAGAAAGTTACTTATTTGGAATAACTTGTTTGTAGTTATCAGAATTATCATTCAATAACCACTATTAAAGGTTTCTTATTAGCAAAGCTGTAATTTACCTTCATTCTTTGGCACACGTTGAATGTTTATAGTTCCTCCTTGGTCATCAAGAGCCTGTAGAGTATTCAGATCCACCCTGTAGTTGTTCTTGTTAATTCTGATGGTCAGATGTGTTTTTTTTTCTATTTTGGCATCTTCCAACTGCATATTTGTCAGTTTATCAAAAGCAACAAAGCTATCATTAGTTCTTTGATACCTCCATTCTACTAGGTTATAAACAAGTTCTGCCTTGGATTGTTCTTCTTGAGTAGTCATTATTTTCTTGATCATTTTTTGAACTTCCACAGAAACAGAACAGACTTCCCTGCTAATACCAGAAATTGTAATGCAAGGTGGAGATTGGCTCTTATCAAGCTGAATGGTAACATGTTTTCCTCTCTGGAGATCTGCCAAAGCCTCAATTTGTCTCTCATCAAAACTTTCAATTAGCTCATCTACAATCCTGTTTTCAAACTGTTCCTTTAAAATCAAATCTACTATCCAGGACTCAGTTGCATCCACATTTCTTTTGCTTTCTCCACAAATTTGAAATGTAACTTTATCAACTTTCTTCTCCAAAACTAAGAGCTTTTTCTTCTGAATGGATTTTTTCTGGTCCCAAAAACATGCTGTGAAGAAATATATGTTAATTATTTAGCTTTATATAGAAGACCTTTAGTTTTGTGAGCCCAAGCATACAGACAACCCACCTACTTACATTTTAGTGTAGACATCCATGATTGTGGTTCAGACAAATCTAAATCTTCTCTTTTCTTCATGCTTTCATAAAAGTCTCTCAGCATGTGTTTCTGGAAGATTACTATTCTAATTTCTTTCAAATGCTGTACTGATCTACTGCTTGCAAATTCCACTATAGCATCTAACATATCGTCAGCTACCTTTGCTGGGCTCTGTCGTGCTGCACCTACGCAAAAATAGAAGACATGTATCAGGCAGTGTACAATATTTAAACCAAGGCAGCATCCAGCTCATATAGGTTGGCGTCACCCTCTCTTCTCCCATTATGCCTTCTCAAACACCCCAATCACAGCTCTAATCACTTCCCCATGAAAACACAAACCTGTTCCAATTGCTGGGAAGGCAACAGATTTGTAGCTCCTTAGCTCACACTCATGAAGCACTTTGGAGACCTGATTCTTCACATTCATATTGTGAATCAAGTGGATGATTTTACTACATGACAATGCACCACCCTCTGTAGTAATAAAACCACTTTGAAGCTGTCCAGCTGGAAGAGAGAAGATAAAAAGGAGACGTTTTCAAAGTGGCTATTTTCTGGTAAGGCAAATGTTAATATGGATGTTAGTGTACACTAGAGAGATAAATACTTGAAGAGGAGTGGAGAAAGTAGAAAGAAGTTGACTGTGAAGGCTGTCTTGAAGTTAATGACTAATTTGTCTAAGAACTGTGGTACAGAATCTTTAAAAGGGTTCTTGCATTTTTCAGAGCAATACTGTTTGGTTAGAAACACCTCAGGTTGAAGTCATGTTGTGAGGATGAATGGACTCGTGAACAGAGTCTGTCTGAGCCAAAGGGACTGTTTCTGCTCTTAAGCCAGGAGCATGCTTGAATAACTTCAGGGCTGATGTCTTACACTGTATTATTTTCCAAGCGTTTATTAGCAGCAGAAATCCTCCAACATCTTTTCAGTTGTGAAAAGAAAAATTCTTAAAGCATATGCCTGGGCAACAGGACTTCTCAGAACTCCTAGCAGTGAGAGGTGTTTTTGTGTTTTTTTTTTTAATAAAATAATTATGGTATCAGGATACAGAATTATAGAAAGAACAGTAAGTGTTTTGAGAGAAGAAAAAGAAATCTAATTAAAGAAATGTGTTCTAACATACCATATTGATCACATTCTTCTTCTACATCGGAACCAGCAGCATCCATAATAGCTTTGAAAACCCCTTAAATTGTTCAAGAAAAAGCATACACATTCATTAAGTCGCTTCAATATTTCTACTCAAAACTCCAGCTGAGTTCTGTAGTTTGAACACCCCCAGATATCAGAGTACAACAGCCAGCAAAGGGCAAAACCTTGCCAGTTCCTCCGTGTGCCCTCTATCACAAACTGCACTAGCTGCAAATAGAACACTGTCTTTGTTACTGATTGGAAATCCTTAAAAAATGACTCCTATTTTGTTCTACCTAGTAATATTATGACTTTCACCAAACTCTCGGATTGCTCAGAATTATACATTTGGCGTCTTCATTCTTACACAACTGAGGCTTGGGCTTATAATGAAATATAAATGTAAAGAAATATAGTAGGATGAGAATTTTTCCATAATTATATTTTATCTCAGATATCCCTTTTATTTAAGCATTTTTCATTTTAAGTCTCTTCTGAGTAGTTTGAAAACTACATGGAATATTTAGAACATGTGATAAAACAGTTTAAGACCTATTTCCTGACTGCTTTCTATTTCTCATCTGAAAAATAAACTTCATAAAAGTTTCACATATGGACAACTCTCTCCCCTCTGTGTTCCTAGAAGGTAGCATAAGTTTTCCACTAAAGAACTACATATTCATATCAGTTCTTTATCAGCAATACCTGATGTGGCATCAAATGTTCGATTTGATATATTTACAATAACCTCTGTGTCTTCCTTGGTAATATCTCCACTAGTTACTTTGAGTGTAATGGAACCAATCTTCATTTTATAAATTCCCAATGCTTCAGTTGAAACAGGGCTGATGAAGTCTGCAAGAAAAAGAAAAAAGATCTTAAAGCACTACAGTTGTAGCTTTGGATATTATCCCCTTCCACTGATGAGAACTGTAATTTATCCTATTGTGGAGTTTACTGTCGACCAGCCTGATAGCACCTCGACAGTCTGTCTTCTTCTCTTTAAATCCATTTCTAAAATTTTTCCTACTTAAATACTGTGAAAGTGAAACCAGCTTAATTCCTGTAAGTTTGCGCAGTATCAGTTCAGGAAGGACTGCTAGAGCCATGTGATGAGACCAACTCTGTGAGAGACTTTCTTCCCTGAACTCTAAAATGACATGAAGCATTACCAGTAACAGAGATCCCAACACAACATTAAACCCTTTGAGCTGGAATACTAATGGTTATCTTACTAGGTTGTCCTCCTCCATGTACTAAGACTGGTCACATTAAGCATTTCCTCAACAAAAGAAATTCCTCATCAAGATTTTTACAGATGGAATTTAAGAATGTCAGTCTATTAAGAGGAAATAAGTGTTCTTTCTTTCTTATGATATTTTATCTGTTTCCTGCTACATATAAAACCACTTTGCAGTACTTACATTCTCCTCCATGTCCCACCTCCTGTCCCTACAAAGCTTACCTAGCTGTGGTGCTGCATCACCAGTTAGCCTACGTTTTAGTTCACTGGTAAAAGCCTAGAAAGAGAGAAAAGGCACCAAAGATACAATTTCAGGCTTTATATACCAAATATTTATATAATTAAATTTAACAGTCATGTAACTCTTGCTGAGCCATCTGATGCATTTTACAGCAGTGTTTAGGCATCATTACTAACAGTGGAAGCAGACAGTGTGATAACAGATACTGTCTTTGCATTGCCAGAACTGCTCTGTGAAAAGACAAGTGAGCAGCAACATGTGTTTACAGTGTCAACAAACGAGGCCACATTTTGTCTGCAGCTTGTGCTTATTGGGAGTTTCGTTTTCAGAGATGCTGAATGAGATAGTAGAGTGACGTCCCCTTTCACTGGCCCAAAGTAGTAAAAAAGTGCTAATTCCCTTCTGAAAGCAACATATCACTAACATATTGCTAAGGTTTGGTTAGAACAGCATGTGACACGGATGGCTTTGCCCTGAGAAAAAAAAAAATACCTGAATGTTATGTGTATCATCTGGGTGCAAGAGAAAATGAACTTCCTGGAGAGTCTTCCTACTGTGACTGCTGCTGAACTTGAATACTTCATCAAAAATTAACTTAGAAACAACAGTGTTAGGAAATCTAAGTCCCCCAGTTCCAATAGCCGGAAAAGTGATGGAATTCAGTCCAAATTCTTCAGTTTTCATCAAGCATAAATTAACTATGTTTTCTAGGGCCTGTAAAACACAGCAAAGATCAATTATTTAAGAAAATGAGAAAAAAATACTTTCGCATCATATATTGTTAGCTCCATAGAGAATATGCTGGTATAAGAAAAAGCTGAGGGTACACAAGGTCACTGAAACAGGAGGAAGTGAAGCTGATTTGTCTAAATGAGCTATTTAAAAGTGCTGACATTTCGAATATTTTAAAACTAAATTCAAACATACCTTCAGGGCCTGCCCACTTCCTCTGTCCCATTGAGAAAGCACAGCATGAAACACGAACTTGCAAGCCAGAGTGCATCCACTTGTGCAGACCACGCTCCCATTACCAACTGCCTGCTGTCCTTTTTCCTTGTCAAACTCCATCTGGAGCTCTGGTCCAGCCTCTTCCAGCAAGGCACGGCAGAGAGGCCCCACACCAAACCCCAAATCTGTGCCAACGCTGTTGACGATAACGTCAGTCTGCAACAAAATGAAAACAAAAATATCTATAGCCAGACTTCAAAAATGCATTTGCCAGCATCGTTACAAGATACAAAATGTACTGCATAAATCCCATGTAAGCTATAAAACTTAATGCACATTTCCTCCCTTTCACCAAAGCGGGACTGTATACTGATCAGAAGCAGCATCTTTTGCACCAAAACAAGGTGAAAGAAGGTTGCTGCGCTTTCATGAAGCGAAACAGGCCAAGTTGTTTGCTTTCCAGATCAACAGGAGGTATTTTATTTACAAATTCTTTTTAAGTGTGTGCCCCACTGAACTTTTTTACATCTAATATTGCTCTTCTGTTGCAACAGGCTCTTAGAAACAGACAGGGGAAGAAACTAATATTGGGGAAAAAAACAGAATCAGGTCTAGACTTTGGAAAAATAAGCTAAGCATGCACTCTTCTATGGGACTGCTTTCCTAAAGTAATTTCTCCAACGACCATGTCACACTTAACACACTGACCCTAGATCTGGAGAATAAAAAAAACTCAGCTAGAAACAAAACATCTGAAATTCATGGCTGCCCACTAGAAATAGCTCCAGAATGACAGAGCCCAGTCTGAAATCTATCAGTTCTGCCATCTTGCTTTCTTGTTTAGCTACCACATGGAAAATTTTAAGACCTACCGTTGCGTCTATGATGTCTTTCTCCTCCACTCGGATGCACAGTCCTTCTGCTGTTGTAATCATCTTCTCACCATCTGTAGCCATGCAAAGATCCTCTCCTCTCTTCTCCCTCTGACTCTCCCCCTGCCTGTGATCTGTAGAGCATCCCTGCTGTGGCACTGAGGAGGATAGCTTAGTTGTAAACACTCTTTGTACAGTCTCACTCAGAACCTGAACCGTTTCTTCATCAATGGCAACAAGATGAATCTCCTTCAAGCTGCTTCCCCCATTGAATTCTTCCAGGGTTTTCTTGATGGCTGACACAATTGCATTTCCACACTTCTGCAGCGGGAAGCCAAAAATCCCTCCGCTTACAGCAGGGAAAGCTATGGAGCTATGATTATATGTTCCAGCCAGCTGCAGGCTCTTTTTAATGAGCTGTCTTAACAGGTACACACACTTCCCTACGCTCTTCTCCTTCCACCGGGGCCCAACAGCATGGATAACCTGTTTGCAGGGGAGCTTCCCTGCTCCCGTGATGACCGCACACCCAGCCTGCAGACTACTCCCCCTCTTCCTCACCACCTCATCACACTCAGCCTGCAGCCCTGGACCAGCTGCTTGGAGCAGTGCCCAAGCAAGGCCACTGGTGTGTTTTAGGTCTTCATTTGATGCATTCACCACAACATCAACTGGGTAATTGCACAAGTTACCTTTGTATACCAGCACTTCAACGGCATCTTGTAGGGTTTGCTTGTAGCGGAGCTTTCTTTCCTCTTTATCATCAACATTTTCACTCTTCTGTTGTTGTTCTTTCAGCCTAATCAGGCAGTTAAACTTCTGCTTTGCCTCAAAAATAAATGTATCTTTCCTGTCGATGAAGAACTGCTTCGCCCCTGGTTTATCAATTGACACATCCTTCCAGTAAAGGGATGAGATAATTTTTTCCAACACAGTGACTGCTTTTGACACTTCTGCTCTTGGTCCTCTCAGGGAAATACACGGCGTCTTGGTGTGAAAGCATACTGTCACACCCTTCTTCCTCAGTTCATCACAAACAGCAGATTTTTCCTTCTCTACAAACTCCACTGCTGCCACCAACTTAGCGGGGATTTCTCTTTCAACCTGCGTGTTTCTATCTATAAAATCATAAAGGTTCTTATAAACTTTTTCTACAGTCTCAGTAAAGCCAGTAATAATCACTATATTTTCATTTCCAACAGGTTCATGGATGACTACTTTTTCCTGGGAAGAGGGGTACTTCTTACGCAAGAAGGCAAGCAGATCACTCCACTCTTTCATTTTAGTGACTTCACAGTCCTTCACATCAATGCTTTTGTATGCTAGGCTTGCCTTTAATTGCTTCTCTCCTTCTGAAAGATCTTTAGGAGTCTCTCCAAATACCATCACAGTGTCACCCTTGAGCTCATAAAAAGCATTAATTTTGTTTGTAGCAAATAACATCTCTGACATTGTCTTACTATTTACACAGCGTAGATGTAGGAAAACATTGTGATTAACATTAACTGATGTCGAGGGCATATTCAATACCTTTTCGAGTAAGTTGGCTTTGGTTTTATAAACTTCTGCAGATAATCCACACAGCTGAACAGTCTTTTTTGTGTCATCATAAGAAATCTTTAAGCATGGACATTCTTCATGAATATTCTCTTCTAGCCCAGCATTATGCAGAACTGCATATTTCTCTGGGGCGATCGACACAGAAATTTCTATGGTTTGTTTTTTCCTTTCACTTTCCTCCATGGCTTTTTCCATGCATTCCCTCACTTCCTTCTCTGCACTGTCCACTGCTGCTCTGTTGCCTGCTATCACCGCCATCTCCTCAGAAATATCAGTTATGATCAAATCAGCATCTTTCATCAATTTGTTCTTCACATCATTCCACTTAGCTGAAATTATTTTACACTTTATAGCTATGTAACGTGACATGATACGTGAGAACTCAGTGGAAACATCTTGCTTCCAGGTCTTGATCAACTTGATCATTGTTTCCTTCTGCTCTGAGATAGATGATGATGGACACAGCGTGATTTCTGGTTGAGCACAATCTGTCAGTGGCCATTTTAGACAACAATGGCAATTTGCCATTTCCTGGTTTATGGCTTCAATCAGTCTATCTTGCCTTTGTAAAAACTGCCATACATAGGGATCTAGTGGCATCACCATAGAATTTGGCATCTTGATAACTGGTCTTTCTTTTCCATATAGAGCTGTTCCCAGCGAGTGGTAATATGGATGCACAGAAACTGGTGTTTGTTCAAGTAAATGCTGCTTTTCCAAGACAGTGCTTAGATCTAAGAGTTATATACACACATACACACATCATTAGTTTCAAGTCAAGTAAATTAATCTATGGTTAGCACAATTAAACTGAATAAAATAACTTGTCTTGTTTGACCACTTGAAGGAGCTATTTTCATGTCTTTCCAGTTTCCCAGGCACTCTGTAGGGGACAAGGGGTTCTGAGTAGTTTAATGAATATGCTATTGTCATAATTCCTTATACAGCTGTGCTTTTCTTTCACTTCCTAAAGAAACCCCAGCACAGAGCAGGGCCAAATCAGGATATTACTATGAAATGGACCTTATTTTCAGCCTAAAAAAAAAAACAACACATTGTCCCAGTGTGTTTTGTTTTGTTTTGTTTTTTTTTAAATATTTGCCATTTGGTAGGAGCAGACAAATGAAATGAATCATAAGATTGACAGGGGCTTAAAACACATTAACAAGAGCTAAATCTTGGCCTCTAACATAAAAACATTCCTAAGCAAATGCAGAACATCAGAAGAAAAGCAAGGACAGAGGCAGCCTTACCTTTGTGATCACAGAAAGTAATGATGGCCGAGTTCTTCTCAGGGAGGAGCTGGATGCCTGACACAGGCCCACCTCCATTTTGTGTGTTCTCAAAATAAACTGTGAGATAGTCTGTGGAAACGTTATCTGGTATGTTTTCAGCCTTGATGCTGCGAGTCACTTCAAGAAGCCTGGCAGTTATTTTGATTCTTTTCACTCTTTTGTTTTGTGCAAATTTGTTGGTGAATTCTTGAGTATCTGTGGACAGAAAAGCAGCGTTAACTCAACATGTTTTCCCACGTCCTTATCATCATGGCTGGTACAGGAGAGACCAAGTTTACTTTTCTCTGTATTAGCAGAAAAGCCAGCTACAGAATAACTCAGTGTTGTAACAGAACGGGGGGGGGGAGGGAAACAGACACAGCCATGTTACTTCATGCTATTCATTACTACTTCCTCTCTGTCTCCTCATCCATATCTCGTATATGCTAAGCACTTCTCACTGTTTCACTGTTTTCTGGAACAGAGACTTTATATACTCCAATAATTTACAGAATCCATCTCTATACTCAGCCTATTTCTAATTCTCCATCTGTCTCAAAATGAGATAAAAACACTGAAGTTGTCACGATTTTCCTTTTCACTCTAAAATTTGAGCACATTTTCATGCAGCAGTATATAAAACTTTATAAAAACTTTCATCTTCCCTAGCAGACCACTGCAAAGGTAGTTTTTAAAAACCTCAGTCTCTAGAAGGAAAGAAATCAAGCTCTGGACACTACAATTCATACATATGCAATATGCATGAAAATAATTGTCAGTGTTCATCCTGTCTTACCAATACTTTTTAGAAAAGTAGCTACAGCAACATTTAACTCCGGTATCATTTCCACAGTGAAGTCACCATCCGCAGCTAAGCCACTGACATCCTCCAGCAGCATCTGTATGCATTTTGCACTGCATCCTTCAACATTTTCAAGCACCACAGAAGGTGAAGTCTCTGCAGACTGTTCTGCAGTTTTCTCCATGGAGTGAGATCTCTCCTGGAGTTCACTCTTTGGAAAATCATTCTCTGTTTTCTGCAAAGCTCCTCCTGCAACATTTTTAACAGAAAGAGAAATAGACCCTGTTATATTGGTGCACATTTCCAGGAATAAGTAGAATCATAGCATCATAAAGGTTGGATCAAAGATCCAACTGACTCTCCCCAAGCACAACTTGAGGCCATTACCTCTCATTTTACTGCTGTCACCCCATAGCCAAGGCTGAATCCCACCTCCTCAGAACCTCCTTTCAGGGAGTTGTAGAGAGCCATAAGGTCTCCCCTGAGCCTCCTCCAGACTGAACAATGCCAGTTCCCTCAGCTGCTCCCCATAACACTTGTGCTCCAGACTATTTGCAGCTCCTCTGCCCTTCTCTGTACATGATCCAGAGCCTCAGTGTATTTCTCATAGCAAGGAGCCCAAAACGAAATGCAGCATTCAAGGTGCAGCCTCTCCCATGCCAAGTACAGAGGGACAGTCAGCTTCCTGCTCCTGCTGGCTGCACTCCTGCTGGTAGAAGCCAGGATGCTGCTGGCCGCACAGCCAACCTCAGAAGTATCCCCTACCCCATATTTGCATGGCCAAAGGACCACCAGTCATCACCCAAGATTTTTTTGTTGAGATTTTACTAAAATTGGAGGGGGTTGGGGTCAGGCAGGGGGGTGGGACAGGTACACAGCGGGGGAGAGATCCACCTCAGCAGCTCTTCCTATTTCACCTGCATGACCTGAAGATAACTGCAAATAGGAACTGAGAGAGTTGTCCCTCAAGCCAACAGAGAGCAGGAAGGCGCCTTCAGCTTCCAGACACATGGTCTGTCAAAACCAGAGGATTCTGCAGGACCCAACAGGAGATGCTGCCATCCAGCAGCCACCCAACAGTACTCTGTCCCCAACATGGCAATGCCCCCTGTTAGGAGCAGCCGTCAGGGGTAGAAGCACCACCTCTGACACCAAGGGATATCTGTGCAGCCAGCTGCTGACTGACCAGGTGGGAGACAAACCCCCAGCACCTGCAAGTCAACCACAGAGCCACACAGTGCTCACAGCAGCCATCCTTGCAAACAGTGGCAGCTTTCCTCTCACTGTCCCAACAAACACAAGTTGCTTTTGCTTAAAGCAACCAATAACCCCCAAGCCCTGCACCTTTGGTACTGTGTGGTGTTTTCCGACCCCACTGGAGACCCCCACCCCACCAGAGCCCTGTGCCACCATGCAGGTCTGCACAAACTCCCAGTACTCCCACCCCCCACAGCCACTTTGTCATATCTCACCAGGTGCTGGTCCTGTCCCTACAACATCCTCTGGCCTCACACCTTCTGTGGGAACAGACACCTTCACCCCACGATCCCGACGGGGGCCCATGGAGCCAGCGGTCTGAGCAGGCCCAAGGGAAGAGAGGGAAAAGCAGGAGCAGGCAGTCAAGCCAAAGGGCTGCACTCTGTTGGCTAAAGGGTTTCAGGAGCAAGCCTGATATACAGCAAGAACTGATACCAAAACCATAATATTTACAGAAGGGAGGCTTTGAAGACCTAACAGCATAACCCTGACAGGAGGAAAACAAGGCACAGCTGCAGAAGCAACAGCTCTGTGCCCACCACTGCATCTCCACATCACAGACAGGAGTCATCTGTGCCACCACACGCAGTGAAGAAAACGTACAAAAGAGGAGAAACATACAAAGCAGCATTGAATCAGATTCGGTACAGAAAGAAAAATGCCCCAGTGCTCGCACTGACAAATTTCCCAAGGAACTAGTCCTTCTTGGTGGCCTAGCATGGACTTTTTCACCAAGGCAGGTGTATTTTGATGTGTAGCGCTGCTCTCTAGACTGCTTTTGGAGCCACAAAACTTGCTAGAATTTTGCTGAAAGGGGATCTGGACAAGTAGTCAAGTTCACCATGTGAGTGGTGAGAGGAGCCACTTCACAAAATCATTAACTGCAGGGAGTGCAAAGACACCTGGCCTGGGATTAAGACCTTCCATATGTTTGTATGTATGTCTCATTTTAGAGCAGTTATGCAGGATAAAGGAACTAAATCCCTCATTAGAGAAATGTATCCAGAGAAATTGGCTAGTATAGAAGCTTAAAAGAGATGCACGGTCTAAGCAAGGCAGGGTGAACCCCCATCCTTGGTGCACATACCTGGCTATGCACGCTTCCCCACATCACCTGAGCCCAAGTGTCAAACTCAGGAAGAAGTTTTAAGCACAGCACTTGTCTTGGATCTGTCTGGGATAGAGTTAATTTTATTCCTAGTAGCTAGTACAGAGCTGTGTTTTGGCTTTAGGCTGAGAAGAATGTTAATAACAGATATGTCAGCTGCTGCAGAGCAGAGCTTGCACAAAGTCAAAGACTTTGCAGATTCTCATGCTGCCTGACAATGAGAGCTGGGGGTGCACAGGAAGCTGCAGGGGGTGCACAGGCAGGATAGCTCACCCAAAGCACCAAAGGGATATTCCATACCATACAACGTCACGTTCAGTAACAAAAAAGGGGCAGTTGAACAGGTGGGCTTCCATTGCTCATGGACTAGCTGGTCATCAGTCAGCTGATAAGCAACTATGTCATGCATCACTTGCTCTTTTTTATTATTATTATTAACTCCATTCTCATTAAACTGTATACCTCAATCCATCAGTTTTCTCACTTCTACCTTTTTGATTCTCAATCCCATCCTACTGTAGGGGAGTGGCTGTGTATGCCTGGCTGCTTGTGTTTCTCCCCACATCACCTGAGCCAGGCTGTCAAATTCAGAGAGAAACTTTCAGCCCAACTCCCCACTGAATGAGAGAACTGCTTTTATTTCAGGAAGAATCACCACAGAGAAATGGACAACTGTTTACCTTCTCTTTGAAGGTCTCTCATGGCATCCAGAGCCTAAAGTAAAATTAAAACAAATTATCAGCAACTGATTTGTCATTTTTGTAATTGTTTCAAAGTTCTAGTTAGGATTATACTTTGTATTCACCTTTGTGGGAACTAATTTTTCCTCAAATGCTTCCTGTTCCGTTGCTGCTTCAAGCTCTGTGACAATGAACTTTAATTTCCCTTTTTCTCCCAAATCCAGCTCATGAGTCTGTCTCTCCAGGACCCGTTGCCTCACTGAAGAAAACCAAAGAAAACAGTGACTAGTGAACAGAAAAACAACCGCATACATTAAACCATGTGGCATGTCCTACCATTTGCTTAGGACTTGCACATTTCCCCACTAAGTAGATCTTTAAACTCATTACACTAGCAGAGCACATGGAGGACTTCCCTCGTGAACAGGAAGGAAAAAAGCACAGAATATCCCAGTGACAGAACATGAAGACATAAAGCTCCAACCTGCCTGCACTGCTCCATTGCACATCTCCCAACTTGTGTGAGGGCTGCAGCCCCATGGCAATATGGGAGCCCCACAATTAGCCCCATGCCTTTCACACCCTCTTCCAGCAGCACAGGGTTGTGATCTTACCTCAACTTACCAGCTGGGGAGAAGCAGCAGGAAGGAAGCATGGTAAGACAAAAATTATATACACATAAGTTTATGCACAGACACACATCTACATGTGTTTAACATAACTGGAATTGAATGCTTCCACCCCACTGCATGTTTTTATTTCATATTTCTAACATATATCTGCTATCACAATAAGGATTAACTGCCATCATATTGATGTCAATATATCAAACAAAACTGCCCTTGGTGCTGAGCCCTGGGTGTCTCACTGCCAGCCAATAGACCTTTGTTCACAAAGACCCTTCAGGCCTGTTTTCTCACCCAGTGAACAGCACATCCATCCCAGTCATATGCTGACAATTTCTCCAGAAGGCTGTAGGAAAACAGCAAACTTTGCTAAAATTCAAGTAAACCACATCCACAGCCTTTCCTTCATCCACTGAAGATGTCATCTTACTGTTGACAGAAATTGGATTAAAAGTTGTTTTACAGTAAGGGAGATGAGGCACTGGCACAGGTTCCCCAGAGAGATGGTGGATGCCCCATCCCTGGAGACACCTGAGATCAGGCTGAACTGGGCTCTAAGCATCTGATTGGGATGTAGGTGTCTCTGTTCCTTGCAGGGGAGTTGGTCCAGATGGCCTTTAAAAGTCCCTTCAACTCAAATGAGTCTGTGATTTTACAGTCAGGGAGGATCTGCCCTTCACAAACCCATGCTGAGTCTGACCCCTTACTGTCGTGCATGTGCTGTGTGATGCAATTATTTGCTCCATAGCCTTTGCTGGCACTGATGCCATATCAGAAAGTCCGTTATTTTCTGGATTTATTTATTTATAGATGATAAAGGTTTACTAAAAAACATCTAGAGATAGTATTAAGCACTGAATTTAGGTTTGTATATGTAAATGCTTGTATTGTATATTCTATATTGCATATTATATCAGAGTTGCACAGTGTGTATCAGACAGTGAATCACAGGTTGGAATGAATCTTAAAGCTCACCCAGTTCCAACCCTGTGATCCCATCCAACCTGACCCTGAGCACCTCCCTAGAAGGTGCCCCTACAGCATCTCTGGGCACTAAACAATGTACATTACACCACATACAACAACCTGGTGTTTGAACGCACAGATATATACATAAGCTTGCATAAAGTCACAGCTCATAAGCTACATCTCATCAAGCCAGCGTTTCCCTGACCCCCCGCCCCAGCTCACCGTCGGGTCGGGCAAAGCAGACGAGCAGCTGCCCGGGTCCGCACCGCAGCTCGCACTCGCCGCCGCCCGAGCGCTTCGGGCTCTGGAAGTAGAGCAGCAGCTTCTTGCGCAGCGGGGCCGGCGGCTCTGCGGTGCCCCAGTCGCCGCGCACCAGCAGCGGGAAGGAGCCCGGCCGCAGTCCCGCCATGGCTGCGCTCTGTCTCGGCTCTGTTGTCTTTCGGTTTCTCTTCCCGGCCGGGAGGAGCAGCACGGGGCATTTCCCGGTATAGACTTGCGGTACACGCCCGGTCTCAGCCACCGCCCCGCTGCACATCAGGTTTTCACACCTCCCTGGTTAGGCTCCTCTCCAGGTTGTTGAGCACTGTTATTTGCGTTATACTTTTAAAATCAGAGATACATATCATAGAATCTTTAATAGAATCTTTCAGGTTGAAAAAAACACTAAGACCATTGAACCCAACCATCACCCATCCCCACTATCCACATCCCTCAGTGCCACATCTCCATAGCTCTTGAACACCTCCAAGGACAGTGACTCCACCACCTCCCTGGGCAGCCTGTGCCATTGCATCACTGCACTTTCTGAGAAAGTATATTTCCTAATACTCACCCTGCCTCCCCCCGGCACAGCATGAGACCATCACCACTCATCTTATTGCTGTCATCTGGGGGCAAAGGCCAACTCACACCTCCCTACAACCCCATTCCA